ATATTTCGCCCCTTTTCCCAGAAGTGAGAATTCCAAGTGCATGAAGGCTTAGTCAGCGTCTCAGGACGTGCAGTGCATTCCCCTCGGGGTCGTGGTATTTAAGCCGGGTGTGCTCACGTCTGGGCCCTGTGTGCCCTCTGCCGGCCCAGACTCCAGCTTCCAGAACCAGCCAGGACGACCCACTCCTCCTCCACGATGGTTTCCCAAAGGGAGAGAGTGAGCACCCCTCACCCCTCACATGCCCCGTGTGTCCCTTCCTGGAATTATCGCTGGAGCCTAAGGGCGAGACAATTCAATTAGAAAGACTCTTCAACACACAGAAACATTAGATTTCCCTCTGCCCAGCCCAGGAAGACTGACCTTGTTTCTGAGGTGCAATCTTGTGCTTAGGAGAGTTTTCTTCTTTGAAGATACCTTCCCGGGGAACTCTGCTGAACGTCATGTGGCAGCCTGGATGCAGGGAGAGTCTGGGGGAGAATGGATACGTGTGTATGGCTGAGTCCCTTTGCTGTCCACCGGAAACGATCCCAGTATTGTTAATCAGCTATACCCCAATGCAAAATTGAAAGTTTAAAGATAAAAAGATACCAGCCTTCTCCCATGAAGGGGAGGAGGGCGGGGTCAGGCAGCGGTTCTCAGACTTCACCGTGCTAGGAGCCCTCCCGGGATCACGTCTGTGCCGCCCCAGGAGGGCTGGGCGGGGCTGAGACTCTGCGGTTCCCGCGAGGTGCGGATGAGGCTCCCCGACCTCTCTTGGAGCAGCAAGGGTGTCATGGAAGATGGAATCCCCCCCAGACCTAAATGCATCCGTCATCCCTAACCCTGACCCCCAGGCCCCCTTTACCTCCCCTCTCAAGCGAGGGTGACGCCGACTTCACGCAGTTGTCCTGGGGGTAAAATGAGAGGAGCCCCGTTTATTGAAAGCTTTCACAGGGCTCCATCCCAGAGAACAGAGGATTGCAAGATCCTCTCATTATCACTTCCCTAGGAAGGTGATAGAAAGTGAAGTCGCTCAGTCATGTCCAACTCTTTGTGACCCCGTGGACTGTAGCCCACCAGGCTCCTCCCTCCATGGGATTCTCCAGGCAAGAGTACTGGAGTGGGTTGCCATTTCCTTCTCCAGGGGATCTTCCCAACCCAGGGATCGAACCCTGGCCTCCCGTATTGCGGGCAGATGCCTTAACCTCTGAGCCACCAGGGAAACCCAAGCAAGGTGATGCATGACACAAACCAAGTCTCCGGCGGGCAGAGGCAGAGCCCATGAGCTCACGGCTCCTTGCCAGGTGTCTGCTGGCTTTTGAGAAGTATTTTATGGAAATACTTTCATCAAGTATTTTGTGGGACTGTTAGGATTTTTAGAAGTTTTTGCAAAGACGTTTAAGCTACAGGCCTACCCTTTCTGGGGTACTTTTTATTTTTAACATCACTTATCACAAAAGGAAAGGAAGAGGAGGAAGTAGCTTTTCTGATCGGGACTTGCCGTCTGAGGCCGGAAGCTGATAAGGATGACCATCAGGACAGAGGAGGACCCTTTCTGTTACTGGTCCTGCCAGCTGCTCTCTGCAGACACCCTAGATGCCCCGGGACACAGGCTGCCCTGGAGGATCTCACCCCTGATGACCAAAGCACGCACGCCCAGGGCTCGGACCCTGGCACGACTGTCCTTTCAGCCCCAGCCTCGCAGGGCGTGCAGTGAAGGGCTTGGAACCATCCTGGGGTTCCATCCTGGAGGACGAGGGATAACTCAGATCCCCTCCAGGCTCTTCCTGGCTTTTCCCCATTCCTCTTCAGAATGACCCCGATTCACAACCTCTAGGCTTTATTTTTTTAAAAAATAGAAAATAGCAGTTGACGGCGGGATTGTAGAGAAGTTTAGGATCCTCACACATTGCTCGTAAGAATGTAAAATGAGGCAGCCGCCGGGGATCACAGCCTGGCAGCTCCTCAAGCCTTTAGAGTCACCAAGTGATACAGCCGGTCCACTCCTCAGCAATAGACCCGAAAGGACTGGGCGCAGACTCGAGAGCTGGCTGTGCGTGTTCACAGTTTGTTCATAACAAGCTGGTTTATCCACACAATGGAATCTCAGTCAGCCATAAGCATGCAGTAGTGACTGAAGCTATGATGTGGACGAACCTCAAAAACCTTGTATTAAGAAGCCAGACATGAAAGGTCGCGTATCATAAGTATGATTCCACTGATGTGCAGTGCTCCGAGCGGGCAGAGCCCGCAGACACCGAAAGCGGAAGGGCGGTTGCCAGAGGCTGCAGGCGGGGTGGGGGTGGTGGTGGTGGGAGTGGGGCTCTCTGGGTGACGGAGGCATTTTGGAACAGATGGAAGTGATGGACAGGGGACACTGTGAATGCACCGGAAGCCGCTTGACAACGGATGCTTTTGTGGTTTGGGAATTTCACCTTAATAAAAAGAAAAAAGGGACAGTGTGTTCCAGAAAAGGGAAGACTGGGGTTTTACTGCCAAAGCCAGACTTCCCGTCGGAGAAGCCACGGGTGAGAAGTTTACTGACAAAGGGAGGAAAACAAGGGCGCGACGTCATTGGCCCCCATCACAGGGAGCCAGGAGCGGCCAGCGAACAGGAGACAGAGGGATGCTTCTCGCTGAGAGGCCTGTACTCCATCTGCGTTAACGGTTGGCGCTAGACAGTCATCCTCGGAGAGAGACATAGTTTATGGGCAATCAAAACACAGTGCAGATGAGGAACGATGCGTCCCCTAAGGCTGACGACCAGTAGCCTCTGAGGGCTGCAGGACTTGCAGGCTTAGAGGCTTGGTCTGTGGTCACAAACGAGACAGAAATGAGCCTTGCTCAGGAAGAGCCAGAAAAATCTGAGTCAAAGCGTCTTGTGTCTCCGAACCACCGACAGATGCGGCGTCCCGAAGCCGCGGGCATCAGACAGGGACGCCACGTTTCCAGGGCCCGGCTGGCCACACGGTCCTCCTGACGCCTCTCTCACCTCCTCCGGACATTCAAGCACGCTGGTTTTGTGGCTCCACGTGGTGCTTGCAGTCAGGCTACCCCAGGGGAGCGCGGCTGGATTCTGCACCGTGTGCGGGGCGAGCAGAGAACCCACCATCTGTGAAATGCCGACCCGGCCCCGAGGGGCCCCCAGGCTCCCCTTCGTCTGAGGACACAGGGCCCCAAGCCTCGGGGCTCATCTCAGCCGCCAAACTCCATCTTAGTCTCCATCTGCATCCTCCGCCCCAAAGTGCCGCTCCTCCGCTGCCCCACGCCCTGGGCCGGCACCTGCAGGCAGGGGCAGCATGGAGGTGGTGGGGACATCACAGGCGGGGTCCCCCACGCCCTGCCTCCCCCATCCCGGCCCCGTGTGAACGCGGTGACTCCAGCTGCATCTGAAGTCGCTCACTTCCCCCCAGCGCTGTGCAGTGTCAAGGACAAATTATAAACTTCTGCCAGGACAGACAAACGTCTTAGCGGCACAGTTTATACAAGAAAGGCTTTTTGCGGGCTATAAGAGAGAAGTCTAGAAATGATGACTCAGTACCCCCTCAATCTAAAGGCAAGACAGGCATTTGAAATGGGAGAGTGAATGAGGCTCGGAGAGAAAGGGTCTGTGGGACGAACCAACAGCAGAATCGCTCCTTTAAGAAATCAAGACAGAACGTTTTGTACAGTCATGATCACCATTGTCTTCAGAGCTTTTTCATCTTTCCAAACTGAGAGTCTGTCCCTATTAAACCCTAAGTGCCTGCTCCCCTCCCCCAGCCCCCGGTCACCTCTCTGGTGCTCTCCATCTCTACGAATGTGACTCCTCTAGGGACCTCATATTAGTGGAATCAGACAGCGTTTGTCCCTTTGTGCAGGCTTATTTCACCCAGTATCATGTCCTCAGGGTCCATCCGTGCTGTGGCCTGTGTCAGAACTTCCTGGTCCTTTAAGGTGGATGAGAGGCGTTGTTTGGACAGACCACATCATCCATCCATGGGCGTCTCCACCGTTGACAGCTGTGGGAAATGCTGCCGTGAACACAGGTGTAGACACAGTCCGTCCGAGTCTCTGCTTCCAGTCCTTCTGAGTGTCGTCACAGAGGCGGAATCGCTGGGTCACGCGGTGATTCTGTTTCATTTTTGAGGCACCTCCATGCCGTTTTCCCCAACGGCCGCGCCGTTTCCATTCCCTGCCACAGAGCAACTTCTCCAAATTCCTGCCAACACATAGTTTCGTCTTTTCTTTTTTAAAATGACGGCCATCCTAAGGGATATGCAAGGGCTTCCCAGCTGACTCAGCGGAAAGAATCTGCCTGCCAACGCAGGAGACGCGGGTCTGACCCCTGGGTCGGGAAGTTCCCCAGGAGGCGGAAATGGCAGTCCACTCCAGTACTCCTGCCTGGGAAACCCCATGGACGGGGGAGCCTGGTGGGCTGCCGTCTGTGAGGTCGCGGAAGAGTGGGACACGATTTAGCGACTGAATGGCAGCAGTGGTTTGGATGTATGTTTTGCATTTCAGAAACTTTCATTTTTCTCTGTACACGCACACGTACTCGTGTGCGTTCTGTGTGTGTGTGTGTGTGTGTGTAGAGGATGAGAGATTGTCTGACCACTTAAACATCTGGGGGTCGCTTTGATATCTGGGTGCTAGTTGTGTCTCCATACCTATTGAGTGCATTATATGAGACAGAGACGATCTTGGGAATTTGTGTCTGGCACCTTCATTTATACTGAAAGGACTTTTTTTTTTTTTAAGTCAAGTAAATTGATTCTTTCATGCCAACCCAATATCAGCATTTCACAGTAACTTCACTTTAGTACTTGAGGATAATTTTTGTCTCACATTTAATGTTTCCCCCTTTGAGCTCTGTTACTTTCTCAGCCAGAAATCACTTAGTGGCTGTCATGGAAGAAGATGGTGATTTACACAGAGTATAGCACTTTAAGCATGAAAAGTACAGTTTCAAAAGCAGCACGATTGGAAACGTTCATGTGTGGTTATGAATTGTGAACACTGACCGTGTGTTGTTCCCGCAGGGCCAGCCAGGGCCAGTGGGCCCCCAGGGGTACACCGGGCCCCCCGGCTTACAGGGGTTCCCAGGACTGCAAGGCCGCAAAGGTGACAAGGGGGAGAGGGGAGCCCCCGGGACCACAGGCCCGAAGGGAGACGTGGTGCGTACAGAGGCGTGGGCGCCGCTCCTGGTTGGCGGAGGGGTGGGGTGGGGGGGTGTCTCGGCCTTCCTTAAGCCTGTTGCCTTCTTTCCAGGGACCAAGAGGTGTTTCGGGATATCCTGGCGCCAATGGAATTCCCGTAAGTTTGTCATAAGATTAAAATTTAAGAGCACTGTATACACTCAGAGCAATTCGTTTATGACATACAGACACATATCTAACTAGTCCCCCTTTCTTGTCGATAACAACAAACCCTGTGGGGCTATATGTGCATTTTTAAATTTTTTTCTCCTGGAACCCAGTCATCTCTTGGACAAACTGCTTCCTTTTAAATGGCCTTCTGGACTTGGCCTGGAGGCTGCTGCGCTAAAGCTGGGCTTCCCAGGACTGCAAGGCCGCACAGGGGACCGGGAGCGGGGAGCCCCTCGTTACTGTTTTGCAGTGACAGGCGGCAAGCGGCACGGACGGGCCGCAAAGAGCCAGGCTTACGCTGCGTTTGAACCCGAGAACCACCTGAGTAGAGAGCCGTCCTGCCGAGAGCAGGGACGGCCCTGCAGTCTTGCAGCGTCTCAGATTCTTGGTAGCAACCAGGCAGAGAGAAGACGAAAGGCATGCTTTGTCCATGAGAAAATCTCAGAATGCAATAAAATGTGTTTTTCTAACCTAGTTTACTTTACTTCTTGTGGCACAAGAAAATAAACAGAGCAGCCTGACTCACAGCCTCCTGCTTGGGCCCGGGAGCAGACTTCCCAGGGACGGCTTCCTGCCCATCTCGGCCTCCGGGATAGATGTGTTTATCCCACGTTCAGACCTGCTCCATCCCTGCGCAGCTGATGTTTGAGGACATCTGCCTCCAGAACTTCACACTCATGCCAGTGCCTGTGCCCTGTCGGCATGCTCATACCCGCATGCACACACCTGCACCACATGTGCTATCTGTCATCACGCTCATGCACGCATGCACACACACACAGACACTGCAGGCTACACAAGTGAGGCTGCCCCATTACAGAAGAAAGGGGGAAGGGTATGAGTGGAGGCAGTCACAGAGAACTGCCGCTTTCCCTTAGCTCCACATTCAAGGGGATTTTTGCAGCGGGAGGCAGAGCTGAAGAAAGGAAGCCCCCCCCCTCACCAAGACATGAGGCCCGCATGGCTGTGATCCCGGGTGTCCCCTGGGAGGGGCTCAAACAGACACATCGGTGACAGCACACAGCTGTGCATGGTTAAGGAAATAACTTGCGCGTGAGTCAGAATCTTGAGAAATTGGCAGAGCTGAAGAATTTGCAGATTTCAAGGGTTAAACAAATAACCAAAGCGTTCTCTTACCAGCTGCCTCCAATGAAACTGCCCGTTTTTAACCCACTTTTTTTGGCCTCTTGGATTGCCCCTTGGTGGGCTCCTCTGGAAGCAGAAGTTTGCACTTTAGATGGAATGACCTGGTGGGAACAAACTGTAACTGATCGGTGCCGTGTTTCCGTTGGTTTTTCCCACTTCATGCTCATTTCATGTCAGAAGCAAATATTTCTGAAACTAGGGAGGGCATGATCATCACCTGGAGGGGTGATCATGGTAAGCAGATACCTGGTCATTTTCTCTGGAACGTCAGGGCTGCTAAAGTCTCCTTGATGCCGAAGTCTGAGAGACGCTCACAGCAAGTTAACATGAACGCCACCACTATATCTGAGCACCTAATGAACATAGAGTTTGAGAGACCCGGTACTTTTAGCTGCTTAGAATCATTTCCAGCACATTCCCACTGGCTATCTGTTTTACATGTGGTGGTCTGTATGTTTCCACGCTTCTCTCAGGGAGCTCGGACTGATGCTCTGAGACAGCCCGGAGGGGTGGGGTGGGAGGGGGGAGGGGGTTTCAAGAGGGAGGGGACATGTATGCCTGTGGCTGACTCGTGTTGATGTCTGGCAGAAAAACAGCGCAATATTTAAAGCAATTATCCTTCAATTAAAAATAAATAAACTTTAAAAAAGAAGTCACAAGCAAAGTTAATGTGTAGTAACATCTAAGAGCTGTATCATCCAGAAATAGACCTGCTTAGATGTTGAACACAAGATGGACATCTAGCTCAAGAGAATTGAAATTTTCCTTTGAAGGACAAGCTCAAATTAAGATCAGGTTGGCGTGCAATTTCAAATGTCTCAGGTCCAGTCTAGGGGAGTCAGGAAGGCCCAGAGCAGACCGATAATTCAGGGAGAGATGAGGAACTCAGAGGCATCTCTTCTGAGAAGGTTTGAAGCTGTCTCATCCCAGTTACAGGAAACCTAAGCCCCTGGGGGCTGGAGACTCAACGGCTTGTCTGTTCCCAGGGCCATCCCGGGCAAGGCGGACCCAGAGGACCCCCCGGGTATGACGGCTGCAACGGGACGATGGGTGACGCTGGCTCCGCGGGACCCCAGGGCCCCGGCGGCTTCCTCGGGCCCCCCGTGAGTACGCGCAGCGCTCAGCCTGCCCCGCTGGCTGGCTTCAGAGTCTGGGTGGTGGAGATGCAGGAAAGGTCTCGCTTTCGGGAGACCCTGCCAGGGACCCCCTGGAGAAACTGTCTCAGGGAAGGTCTCTCAGGAGGGTGGGCTGCCTCCTGCCTGCAGGATGGTGCTGGGTGTGGGGGAGCAGGCACGTGCCAGGGCCGCCTTTATACCCCAGAAAGGGCCACCTTTACACCCCAGAAGCCGTGGCTGCCCACCCTCGGTTAGCAGGCAGGATGGAGCACGCCTCCGCTGCTGAGACGTCTTGCCCACCTCTAGGCGTGCTGGACTCAGAGAGCGCTATTTCCCCTCTGTCCTTTGCACGCTCAATAGAAGGCGATGGGTTTGTCTCCCTAGCATACCACCACTTCCTCCCATTCAAATAGCAAGAATAATAGTGGAATCGTGGAACTAAAATTTTAAAAAGCTTAAACCTTGAACAGACTTCTCAATTAGTCATCATTTTTATTAGATTCTAACATCCTTTGTGACATGAACAAACAGTTTTGTTCTCCAGGATATACAAGGTAGACTTTACTTTTCTAAATGGAAGAACTTTCATACAATGATCTATTTCATGGCCTCATTTATTTTTTAGGGTCTTTGCAAACAATCTTCTTTGATAATATGTTGCTACCTTATACCAATATATTCTAAACTCAGGGTTAAACTAACACTTTGTGGCAGAACTTTTTATTTAAAAAACACTTTAAGGTGCGGGAAGGGCAGCAATAACAATCTTCATTGCATTTCCCTGGAGCTGGCCGATTTCTGGTTATCTTCACACTTCTGCCCTCCAGCTCCCCATTCACTGGTTGTTTCTTTTTCATGTGATTCAACTTATCAGTAAGCTACACTGTGCTCTGTTCTAATATCATAGCTTTCGTTATCAATAAATATATCCATCACTTTAAAATACAGGTTTTATATGTGGATATTAAAAGACCTGTGTACTTATGTACCTGTGTATCATACTGGGCTGGCCAAGAAGTTCATTCAGATGTCATGGAAAACCCAAACCAACTTTTTGGGCAATGCAGTATACTTGACACAGTCCCATTTTTGACGGATGACCCGGAATCTCTCCCACAAACAGTGCTGCAGAGTGTGAGGGTCGATGTTTTAGTATGCAAACGCAAAGAAGGCAGAGAACAGCATTACTGCAAAGAAAAGGACAGGTCGGGAGAGGAAAGTGTTCGTTTGCTGAACGTTTACTTGGGTTTCTGAAAATTAAATCCTATCGCATATTTCTCTTCTAACTTTAAGAAAGATGCTGTTGTGTAAACATGAAGGTAAGAGTCTCGCCTCGTGGCTAAGGTAGAGATGGACGTTCAGAACAGTCTCATTTGGCCATAAGGACAGCTGGACATCGCCCACGAGAGGGGCAGCCGATGGCTCCAATCATGTCACTGCGCTGAGTGCTAATGGACGGCTTGTGTTTTTCTTTTTCTGCCGTGTGCACGCATTTAGGGGCCCCAAGGACCGAAGGGGCAGAAAGGCGAGCCCTATGCTCTGCCCAGAGAGGAACGCGACAAATACAGGGTGAGTCGGCAGAGACGGGGCATGACCGAGCCCCCGCATACACTGCCCATTAACAGAGTGACCTCTGCGTGGAGCGGGGGGATGCACAGTGGGGGAACAAGCCAGAATCTCCACTGACTTCAAGGTCCTCTCACTGGCCTCCAGGCTGTAGGCCGTCTTACACCAACTGCGGGCCCGCCCTTCTCATACTCATGACAGTGCAGCTGTCTGGGTAATTAACATCACCGAGTCCCTAGACAGCGGGTGTGTTTTACAGGCTTATTTTCAACACTGCAGTAAAATGCAACCAAGTCCACAGATTCTTAAAAGCTGAAACTCTTCAAACTCTTTCTTCTCAATTAGGGGGAACCTGGAGAGCCCGGACTGGTCGGCATGCAGGTAAGCACTGCTTTGTTAGAGAAGAGCCCCGGCCGAATCTGAAGGGCTCCGGGCTCCACCCGCTTCTGCCTCCCCAACCGCCTTCTCTGCTGCCTCTCCGCAGGGGCCTCCCGGCCGCCCTGGGCCCATAGGACAGATGGGTCCGGTTGGAGCTCCAGGAAGACCGGTAAGTTCCAGGCTCACGTGCTCACCCTTGCGGTTGTCGAACATCCTCCAAGATACAGGCTGTGCGGACGCTGCTGAAGGCCTCACGCGTGCCTGACACGTGTGGTTGCCAAGACCACCCAGGCCATCCCTTGTCCGTGCTGCCGCCATCAAGGTTGAAGAGCGAAGACTCAATGCCAGCTAGGTCAGATTTTGGCCTGGTGCTGGTCTGGAGCCCTTCCAGTCAGGCAGAAGCTCTCCCAGCCCCGCAGGGGACCAGCAGACGGAGGTCCGTCATCCCGAGCAAAGCAGACCAGTGTCCAGCGGGTCTATAAGGAGGAAATGGGCTCTGCTGGGCCAGGCCTTAGAGCAGGGAGGCCACAGCTGGCCAGGCCTTAGAGCAGGGATGGGAGGCCACAGCTGGCCTGGCCTTAGAGCAGGGATGCCACAGCTGGCCTGGCCTTAGAGCAGGGATGCGAGGCCACAGCTGGTCTGGCCTTAGAGCAGGGATGGGATGCCACAGCTGGCCAGGCCTTAGAGCAGGGAGGCCACAGCTGGCCTGGCCTTAGAGCAGGGATGGGAGGCCACAGCTGGCCTGGCCTTAGAGCAGGGATGGGAGGCCACAGCTGGCCTGGCCTTAGAGCAGGGAGGCCACAGCTGGCCAAGCCTTAGAGCAGGGATGGGAGGCCACAGCTGGCCTGGCCTTAGAGCAGGGAGGCCACAGCTGGCCAGGCCTTAGAGCAGGGATGGGATGCCACAGCTGGCCTGGCCTTAGAGCAGGGATGGGAGGCCACAGCTGGCCAGGCCTTAGAGCAGGGATGGGAGGCCACAGCTGGCCTGGCCTTAGAGCAGGAGGCCACAGCTGGCCTGGCCTTAGAGCAGGGATGGGATGCCGCAGCTGGCCTGGCCTTAGAGCAGGGATGGGAGGCCACAGCTGGCCTGGCCTTAGAGCAGGGAGGCCACAACTGGCCTGGCCTTAGAGCAGGGATGGGAGGCCACAGCTGGTCTGGCCTTAGAGCAGAGATGGGATGCCACAGCTGGCCTGGCCTTAGAGCAGGGATGGGAGGCCACAGCTGGCCTGGCCTTAGAGCAGGGAGGCCACAGCTGGCCAAGCCTTAGAGCAGGGATGGGAGGCCACAGCTGGCCTGGCCTTAGAGCAGGGAGGCCACAGCTGGCCAGGCCTTAGAGCAGGGATGGGATGCCACAGCTGGCCTGGCCTTAGAGCAGGGATGGGAGGCCACAGCTGGCCAGGCCTTAGAGCAGGGATGGGATGCCACAGCTGGCCTGGCCTTAGAGCAGGGATGGGATGCCACAGCTGGCCTGGCCTTAGAGCAGGGATGGGATGCCACAGCTGGCCTGGCCTTAGAGCAGGGATGGGATGCCACAGCTGGCCTGGCCTTAGAGCAGGGATGGGATGCCACAGCTGGTCTGGCCTTAGAGCAGGGATGGGAGGCCACAGCTGGCCAGGCCTTAGAGCAGGGATGGGAGGCCACAGCTGGCCTGGCCTTAGAGCAGGGATGGGAGGCCACAGCTGGCCTGGCCTTAGAGCAGGGATGGGAGGCCACAGCTGGCCAGGCCTTAGAGCAGGGATGGGAGGCCACAGCTGGCCAGGCCTTAGAGCAGGGATGGGAGGCCACAGCTGGCCTGGCCTTAGAGCAGGGATGCCACAGCTGGGCCAGGCCTTAGAGCAGGGATGGGATGCCACAGCTGACCTGGCTTTAGAGCAGGGAGGCCACAGCTGACCTGGCCTTAGAGCAGGGATGGGAGGCCACAGCTGGCCTGGCCATAGAGCAGGGATGGGATGCCACAGCTGGCCTGGCCTTAGAGCAGGGATGGGATGCGACAGCTGGCCAGGCCTTAGAGCAGGGATGGGAGGCCACAGCTGGCCAAGCCTTAGAGCAGGGAGGCCACAGCTGGCCTGGTCTTAGAGCAGGGATGGGATGCCACAGCTGGCCAGGCCTTAGAGCAGGGATGGGATGCCACAGCTGGCCTGGCCTTAGAGCAGGGAGGCCACAGCTGGCCAGGCCTTAGAGCAGGGATGGGATGCCACAGCTGGCCTGGCCTTAGAGCAGGGGTACCACAGCTGGCCAGGCCTTAGAGCAGGGATGGGATGCCACAGCTGGCCTGGCCTTAGAGCAGGGATGGGATGCCACAGCTGGCCTGGCCTTAGAGCAGGGATGGGATGCCACAGCTGGCCAGGCCTTAGAGCAGGGATGGGATGCCACAGCTGGCCTGGCCTTAGAGCAGGGGTACCACAGCTGGCCAGGCCTTAGAGCAGGGATGGGAGGCCACAGCTGGCCTGGCCTTAGAGCAGGGATGCCACAGCTGGCCTGGCCTTAGAGCAGGGATGGGATGCCACAGCTGGCCTGGCCTTAGAGCAGGGGTACCACAGCTGGCCAGGCCTTGGAGCAGGGATGGGATGCCACAGCTGGCCTGGCCTTAGAGCAGGGATGCCACAGCTGGCCTGGCCTTAGAGCAGGGATGCCACAGCTGGCCTGGCCTTAGAGCAGGGATGGGATGCCGCAGCTGGCCTGGCCTTAGAGCAGGGATGGGATGCCACAGCTGGCCTGGCCTTAGAGCAGGGATGCCACAGCTGGCCAAGCCTTAGAGCAGGGATGGGATGCCGCAGCTGGCCTGGCCTTAGAGCAGGGATGGGATGCCACAGCTGGCCTGGCCTTAGAGCAGGGATGGGATGCCACAGCTGGCCTGACCTTAGAGCAGGGATGGGATGCCACAGCTGGCCTGGCCTTAGAGCAGGGGGGCCACAGATGGCCAAGCCTTAGAGCAGGGATGGGATGCCGCAGCTGGCCTGGCCTTAGAGCAGGGATGGGATGCCACAGCTGGCCTGGCCTTAGAGCAGGGATGGGATGCCACAGCTGGCCTGACCTTAGAGCAGGGATGGGATGCCACAGCTGGCCTGGCCTTAGAGCAGGGGGGCCACAGATGGCCAGGCCTTAGAGCAGGGATGGGATGCCACAGCTGGCCTGACCTTAGAGCAGGGATGGGATGCCACAGCTGGCCTGGCCTTAGAGCAGGGGGGCCACAGATGGCCTGGCCTTAGAGCAGGGATGGGAGGCCACAGCTGGCCTGGCCTTAGAGCAGGGATGGGATGCCGCAGCTGGCCTGGCCTTAGAGCAGGGATGGGATGCCACAGCTGGCCTGGCCTTAGAGCAGGGAGGCCACAGCTGGCCAAGCCTTAGAGCAGGGATGGGAGGCCACAGCTGGCCTGGTCTTAGAGCAGGGAGGCCACAGCTGGCCTGGCCTTAGAGCAGGGGGGCCACAGATGGCCTGGCCTTAGAGCAGGTTCACTGCACCTGGGCACAGCCATCGTGACAGGTGAGATACTGGACATCGGTTAACCAAGTGACCCCTGGGCCGCCCTGAGTGGCGGTCTACAGGTGTCCCCTCCTCCTGCAAGTCTAATCAGGAGTGAGGCTTGGCAGCCGAGCCCCTGGATGGAGGAGGCCTGCCCCGAGGAGGTCGAGTCCCAGGCCTGGCCGCCTCAGGTCCTTCCCGCTGCCCAGGGACCAGGAGGTGAATGGGCTCCTGCAGAGTGCCAACTCTCCCCTCCTCCACGTTTTTTATTAATAAGACAAACAGGCCTTGAATTACTCAGGGAGAGCTGTGGCCGCAGGTGAGAGAGTCCTTCTCAGAGAACACCATGCCCCGAGATTGGGGTGGCCGCGGACGGGGGCGTGGGACCCGCTCCTCAGCCAATGCGGAGACGCAGCGGGCAGGTGTGTATCTGAGGGCAGGTCCGTCACACCAGCAGCTGGGCTGGGAGTGCGCGTTCGCTTCCGTCAGACCACAGATCACGTCTCTACGAGGCACAGTTTTCCCGGGCCGGGCTGCTGGGAAGCAGCCCTCCGGCCGTGAGATTTGGCCGAAGGGAAGGAGACGGGCTCGTGTTTCGAGGTGCTCTCGACCCTTGTGCACATGCAGCTGCCCTTTTACGGCACACGGGCCACGGGGTGGAGGGTCCCCTGCTTTACGCACACAGTTCCGGGAAATAAGAAACAGCAGCATGCGCCCCGCCTCCCCGAGCCGAGGTGCCAGCCTCCAGGTCTTCACGCGAACCGCTGAGGCCTCCCACAGCCCCCGGCCCCATCCACTTGCTTCTACGTCAACACGCCTGGCTCTTCTAAGGCACGTGTCAAGCTTTTACCCTCGGTGTGGCGCGGACAGGGACTGCTCTGCAGGAGCACGAGGCGATCCGGCGGGCGGATTCCCAGCCCCGCGGAGTGGCCGGACCTAGATTAACGCTGTGCGTGCTCGTCCACCGGCCCAGCAGCGCGCAGTGCGAGATGATGCTGGGCGGGGGAGCGCACGGGAGGCCGGTGGCGGGGCGGGGGCGTGTCTCTGGAGGAGCGGGGCCTGGGGCCTCGCAGAGGGAGCAGAGCCAGCGTGAGCAGGACGCGGACCAGGTCAAAAGCCTGAACTCAGAAAAGCAAGCCAGGAACAGCTGTGCCCGGGCAGCCAGCGGACCCTGAGAGCTGGGCCCGACCCCCCATCCTCCAGCCCCGCGTCCCCGCCGAGATGAATGTGCTGGAAGGCTCTTCACATCCTCCCCGGTGTGCTGAACACACAGCGGACGGCTTTCCCAGGGCTCCCGAGCAGATGTCATCTGGGTCCTGGGGTAAAGAAAACAGTTGACAGATTTCTTTGTGTTTGTGCAGGGACCGCCTGGACCCCCTGGACCCAAAGGACAGCCAGTAAGTTGTTGGGGGCGGGGGGGGGGGGCGGGGGGCCGGGGGCTTCACGTGCTTCTGTGTCTGCTTCTTGAGCGTGGAACTAACCTGGCTGACAAGCACATCGTTTGTCTCATGAGGAGGACTGTTTCGTAGAGTTATAAGACAAGGCTCTAAACTCCAAGAATAATCCATGCGTGCCCCTGACGGCCACATGAAGCCGCTGAGTGAGTGGATGCATGGAATGACTTGTCTGCAAATCACATAGCATTCCTGTGGCCACATGAAAATCCAGCTGGCGAATGTTTGATTAGAAACGCGGAGCACGATGGGGACAACCCCTGCTCATCCATACGGTGCTCACTCACGAGCTGGGGCAAGGCAGAGCTGGAGCTGTGGAGGGAGCTGACGGCCTGCTTCCTGCTGGGGGCAGGCGGGCCCTCCCAGAGCGCGCTGCCAGCCTCTGGGGGTGTATTCAGGGAGCTTCAGGCCAGGCTCTGGCCCATCCCTGTCCTCTTTCCATCAGAGAAAGACGGTCCAGTGGGCTGGAGCACCACAAAGTTGGTGGCTTCTTAGGAACATGGGCACCATTCGGGCTTAATGTGACCTGAGAAAGTTAAACAAATCTCCAGGACAAGCCGTAGGAGGTTGGCGAGGGATGTATTTGGTCAAACCCCGACATGAGTCAGAAATACTGGGCTACTGTTAGGAACATTTCAGAACCACTCTTTGGCCTGTGTTAGGGCCAAGGACGCCTCCCCGGCCCACCCATTCCCAGGCCTGTCCCGCAGAAACCCCATCTCCCGGCCGCCCGGGGACCTCAGCTGTCACCACCCCGACCCCAGCTCCCATCATCTCTGACTCAGCTTCCGGCTGCGGCTGGAGCTCATTAAGGCTTCTGCCCGCCCCCCTGCCCGGCTCCCTGCCGTCTGGCCGCCCAGGGCGGGCTGGGAATGGCCCAGAGCCAAGAGATGCAGATGTAGGACGGGGCGGGGAGCCCCGGGGTCGCCTCAGATCCCCACTTGGCTGCAGCACAAACAGCCCCAGGCCTCCAGCAGGTCACTTCCTGGTGCCCTAGACCCCGGCTCGTGAGGCAGGGGGATGTCGGGGTCCCAAGTATATCTCGTTCTCGTCTCGCCTGGCTGCGTCTCTGTGCTTTGATTTCAGCTCCCCAGCCAGGTGGGAAGGAAGCAAAGAGAAAGCAAAAATTAATGAAAGGCTTTGTATTTGTGGAAACTCGGGGCACCAGAGGCGGGGGGCTGTGTGGTACGGACAGAGACCAGGTGGGCCCCACGGGATCCTGCGTCTCAGCGGGGACAGGAGCCCCGGGAAGGCAGCGGAGCCGTGGGCAGTCGGAGGGCCTTCCTGAGCTGCGCGTGGTTTGTCCCACGGCCCTCCTGGCGGGCGGTCAGCCCTCCCACACACGCGTGGACGCTCCCCTCATGAAACCGTCAAATACACACCAGGGTGCCTTCCCAGTCTGTCTCGGAAGCAGAAAGGATGATGAAAAGTTTGGCTAAACTCAAAGAACACCATCATTACGAGGGTTAGGACTTCTTCCTGTGAAATTTAGGATTAATTTACCAAAGTGAGAGAGTCTGAGGCAGAGGAGAGTATGAATCACGGTCCTCAGATTGGGATCCCAGGCAGGAAGCGGCTGCATTCCGAGCCAGAGGGCCCGGAACCCGAGGAGCCGCTCTGAGACCCCTACCTGTAGAGTCGGAGGGCCTGGGATCAGACCTGAGCTCCATCACCTGTTCGCCCTGAGGCTTCGGCCCAAGGATATGACACTCTCCCCATCGATGACGTCCAGACTCACCGTGTGGTCCAGAGGACTGAGGGGAAGTTAGCAGGGGCCCTGGACTGTCAAAGCTTAAGGCCTCCAGGAGGAAATCACTCATAGCTTCTTGGTCATCAGGATGTGAGCAGTAAAATATATAAGCAAGTGGCGAAGTGTCTCCAAGGGTGACAGAACAACTGTTCTTAGCCCCCTGTATTTCAAGTTTTGCTTTAAGTACAAAATACAAATTCCTTAAAAGCAGAGCTTTATTAAAACACTAGTGTATCATTTTTATGAACCCAGAATTTTTATCATTTAAGGTTTAGTCTTAGCGCTTGGAGCTCGCTGTGAGGGGCCACTTTCTGCAACTGGTACAGCGTCTCGATTTGCTCCTGTTCATTTTATGTGATACCTGGACTCAGACTTTCAGTACACCGTTTGCATGCGGCAATAGCAAAAGAAAAGATGTTTCTTTTCCTTTTGTATTAATTCGTTCCTGGGAGCTGAAGCCAGAATATTAGGCAAGGATAGTTGTCCAGTGATGTTGCAAATACATAGATATGAGGTTTCTTTTCCTAAAAGAAATAATTCCATTTCACTGTGATTATTGACTTTAAACTTACAGAAGCCATTTGTCTTTCAGGGCAACAGAGGACTTGGTTTTTATGGAGAAAAAGGTGAAAAGGTAAAGGAAACTTACTAGATTGAATTAGGAAATACTGACAGCTCATTCTAATGTCTTCGTTTTATGCAGTTATCTTGCAGCGCTCTGCAAACACACCATTTGAAAGGAAACAGTCATTGTGAAGTGTCAGGTTAGCAGACAGGCTCCAGCGGTGGTTACGATCTGTAAGACAGGGCTCTTCCAGACCCGGGGATTGAACTGCGTCTCTTTCGCCTCCTGCATTGGCAGGTGGATTCTTTATTTCTAGTGCCACCTGGGACGCCCGTTCTGATTTATGTCTTGGGTACCAGTCTTAGAAAGCAGTAGCATAATACATAGCAAGAACCACCGAAACATTTGGCCTCCAGACCAAATAATGTCCTTGTATATAAGTTCATCATAGGGAGATAATTTCACCAAATCAAATGCAACTGCAAACTGTGACCAAGCTCAACAGCTTATATGCATAAATTCTAAATGATTATTAATGCAAGTGGAAATCAAGTGATTTTACCTTACTCTTATTTTCTTGTGTATGATGTTTTTACATTTTTTTAAATGTTTCGCGTTGGGGCAGCCGATTAGCAACCCTGGGGTAGTTTCAGGTGGGCAGCAAAGGGACTCAGCCCTGCGTATACGTGAGTCCACTCTCTCCTAAACCCCCTGCTGCCCAGGCTCAGATATGATCTTTATCTTGTGACTGTAACAGTGTTAACATTGACGTACGTGTGATAAGTAACACGCAAAGACAGGAACAGCAGTTTGCGGCGGGATTGTGCTTTTGTTCACCCTCGATCGTGTCCTTCAGTCTAAAGACAGCGGCTTTGCTAAACCGTTCGCAGGGGGAGATGGGACTGCAGGGACCCGGCGGGATCCCCCCGGACAACGGCTACGCGGAGAAGCCCACGCCCCTGTATGAGCTCCTGCCGGAGCAGTATAAGGTAAAGGGCTGCGGCAGGACCGGCCGCCCGTGAGCTGACGGGAGGAGGAGGGAAGAGGAGCTTGCTTTATCTTATTCAAACAGTCACACTCACAGTGGAAATGCCCTCCCCACCGAAGTAGCAAATTATGCGTTTGAAAGCACTGATCAGTCGCAGGCCTCTCAATACATCATTGTCCGTAATCGTGACCAAGTGGAGCCAGCGCGAGGGCCCATTTAGGGATCTCAGCTCCGTCTTCAGTCTCTAGTGTAGACACAGCCAGTGGTCACAGCACAGCTCAGTGCCAGGATGCGGGGCCGCGTGAGCAAAAGAAAGCCTACATTTTGCTGACAGGGAGCGTCCCTGTGGGCTTTATGGGTCAAAGTCAGATTTCTGACTCTTGTAGTTTCTGTTAATGTTTTGTTTGATGAAGAGCATCCTCTTGGAGTCTAAATAAAAATTAACACCCTTCTCTATCACTCACTCACTCAGACAGACCGTGCACCCGTCCTAAGCCTTCTGGGCGCCCTGTGCTTCATAAAGACCGAAGCAGTAACCTGGTAGAATTCTGACCTCGTGGGGCGGCAGGGTGGAGACCAGGGTGAGACGCACCATGAAAGGTCACGGGAGCCAAAGCAAAAATCCCAAACGTAGACCGTGATCCCTGCCTCTCGAGCATCTGTCAAGATGGGTGTGAATGCCGAGGGACGGGTGGGAGAGGGCAGGCTGGACCCCCCGACCCCGTGGGGGACGTGAGTCTGGGCAGCTGCGGTGTTAGGAGCGGCTTGAGCGCTGACAGAGGCAGCCGGGGCAGAGGCTGGTGCGAGCCCAGAGGGGACGGCCGTGTGCCAGCCGAGCTGAGAGCAGGGCAGCCCCGGACCCCCAGGCCGGACAGGGCCTCTGGGGTCTTCAGGGTGGATCCAGGAGGGACTCTGGCTCCTGGGGGGGACCTGACCATCAGCAGCGTAGGGCCCCCGTCCAGTGTCAGGATGGGAGCCGGGGTGGAGTGAGGCCAGAGCAGGTGTGATCCCTGCTGAGACCATCAAGAGGCTGAATCACATTTCCCTGTTTTCTGCAGCCAAGAGGGAATGCGAAAAAGCAGAGACGTTAGTTTGCCAACAAAGGCCCATCTAGTCGAGGCTATGGTTTTTCCAGTGGTCGTGTACGAATGTGAGTTGGACTGTGAAGAAAGCTGAGCGCGTAAGAATTGATGCTTTTGAATTATGGTATTGGAGAAGACTCTTGAGAGTCCTTTGGACTGCACGAAGATCCAACCAGTCCGTCCTAAAGGAGATCAGTCCTGGGTGTTCATCGGAAGGACTGATGCTGAAGCTGAAACTCCAATACTTTGGCCACCTCATGCGAAGAGTTGACTCATTGGAAAAGACCCTGATGCTGGGAGAGATGGAAGGCGGGAGGAGAAGGGGACAACAGAGGATGAGATGGCTGGATGGCATCACCGACTGGATAGACATGAGTTTGAGTCAACTCCGGGAGTTGGTGATGGAAAGACAGGCCTGGCGTGCTGCGATTCATGGGGTCACAAAGAGTCGGACACGACTGAGCGACTAAATTGGACTGAACTGCAGAAGGAATGGGTCCCAGGACCTGGCCAGCCTGCAGGGGGCAGTGTGGAACTGCAGGATCCTGGGAGCTGTTCTAGGATTGATGAGTGAACGGACCCATCGCGCCTTTCCTTCCCCGTTTTAGACTAAGAGAAACGGGGAAAAACTGAGCCTATACCATTGACGTCACGGGCTCCCCTGGTGGCTCCGTCGTAAGGAAACCACCTGCCAGTGCAGGAGACACGGGTTCAGTCCCTGGTGGAGGAAGATGCCACGGGGCACGGAGCAGCTGAGGCCGTGCCCCACAACCATTGAGCCGGGGCCCCAGAGCCCGGGAGCTGCAGCTGCTGAAGCCCACGCACCTGGAGCCCTCGCTCGGCTACAGGAGAAGCCACCGCAGTGAGAAGCCCGCCCAGCGCCCCTCGAGAGGAGCCCCCGCACACTGCAGCTAGAGAAAAGCCCGTGCGGCAGTGGAGACCCCGCACAGCCAAAAGCAAAGACAGAAAGTTATTTTGAAAGAAAGAAAGCTGGCGTTGCTTTCTAAAGCCACTCTCCCTCGGGACTGTGACACGCTCCTGATGAGCCGCGTCCTTGGAGGCCCCCCATCGCCTGGATGACCTCTCACTGTTTCATTATCGAATGACAGCCCCTCTGCTGTCACTGGGGCTGTCCCCCAGGCATGCGCCCTGCCCCCGTGGGCCCTGAAGGAAAGTCACAGGCAGAAGAGACAGCCTTGCAGTCACATCAGAATAACACACAGTTTCATCTCTGCTGTGAAAATCCAAGAGAAATAGCACATTTTCCCCCTTGAATTTTGGAGCCGCAAGGTTTAGGGAGTCATTTGTTACAATCCGTTGATATTCGTTGTTTGCAGTTTTATAAAATACTTTGCACCTTATGTCATCAATCCTGACCCATTTTAAATAGTATTCATGAATTAATGAGCCTTTCTTGTCTTTCGTGTCTTCACAGGGTGAAAAAGGAAGCGGGGGAGAGCCAGGGAGAATAGTAAGTCAAGGAATAAAGACGCTTCTTCTCACCGGTGCTTCCCACGTTCTCGGGGGTCCCATCACAATGTTAGACTGTCCGGGGCGTAACAACCCACTGCTCTGATCTCCAGCCCACTCATCTGCGGCAGGAAAGGGTGATCGTTTCTCACGCTGTTTTTCAGAAAACAGTGTCAGGATGTCTTCTTTCTGCAGAGTCAGCACTGGCTGATCACCCTCTTCTGAACTTCATAAATGAGCCCAGACTACTCAGAAGAGCAGTTCCTTGGAGGGAAGGGCCGGGCGGGCTTGGTGGCGGCTTCCTGGCCAGGGTCCAGCCATGTCATTGCTCTGCTTTCCCTGATCTGGGTCCCACTTGCCCGCGAACCCCCAGTGCTCCCCGTCGCCATTTACCAGGTGACGATGACTGGTGATGTGCCAGGTGGATGACCGTCCCAGCCCACTGCAGACATCCTAGGAGCCCGTCCTCCATGGAGCCGGAGAGGCAGAGGCAGGCTGGCCGCAGCGGGGGCACTAAGAATGAGCCCCCAGAGCAGGCAGACCATGAAGTGTGGTCTTTCTGTTCTCTCCTAGGGCATCTCCTTGAAGGGAGAAGAAGGCATCATGGGCTTCTCGGGATCACGGGTAAACCTTCTGGGCCTGCTGTGTGCTTTGCATTGTCCGGCTTTTGGAAAGACTTCATTTTGCTTTCATTTCTTGTTGAAGTGTCGTTGGCGCACAATAGCGCGTGTGGTAGATCCACAGCACACTGACTCACAGCTCTCAAAGGCTCCGCTCAGCACAGTTGTCGTAGGACCCCGGCTCTATTGCCGGCGCTGTGCCGCGTGTCCGAGCAGCGTGTTGTGACGTCACCGTCTGTGCCCCCAGCCCTTGCTCCACGGCAGAGCTGAGCTGGAAGTGCAGAGGTCTGCCCCACACCCCGATCCCCGACGCTCACTGTCAGGGTCCTGCCCCTCCGTGGACTGTCGGCTCCGACCCTGAGCCTGCGTTGACAGACACGTCACTGTCACCCAATGACTGTGGGTTTTAAGACCGTGCTCCCCCTTTAGGGGAGGGACATGAACGGAACTCAGATGCGTTTCTGCTTGTATTAGCCTGAATGACTCGGTGGTAACAGAAACGGAGGCTGTCTCCAACAACGGGCCCGATCTCTTATTGCCCCAGGAGTCCAAGGAAGATGTCCCTGGTGGGGTAGATGGGGTGAGGGGAAGTCTCCTCTTGAGGAGGCTCGGCTGCCTGTCACTCCTGGCCCGAGGGCAGACCGCCCTCCACCGGCCCGAGGGCAGACCGCCCTCCACCGGCCAGAGCTCAGTCAGCTGGCCCAGTCCACCCCTCAGTGAGCTGGAAAGGTGGGCAAAGACAGGGGCCTTGGGGCAACTGGCCACAGCCACCCTAAGGACAAGTATCACAGTCTCCAAAAATCAGAACGAAGACTCTGGGAGCACGAGGGTGCAGGGTGCTTTCTGGCTGTACCGTTTTGACTGTGTTGTGTTTATGGGTTTCTCCACGTTTCTTTTAAGTCACAGCCAGGATGCATTAGGTGAAAGTGTCGCTAAAATGATGCCTCTCCTCCAGGAAGGAGAGGGAAGTTTAGATGGCGTCAGTATTGTCACAGCAAAGTGTTTACTTACTTAGCCCACGCAGGTGCCGTGACCGTGCCCTCCAGGATAGGTCGCTGCATGTTCTTACCTGTCACCGCTTCTGTTTTCTCTTCAACCCAGGGTGCCCCCGGCTTCGACGGTGAGAAAGGTTCACCAGGACAGAAAGTAAGTTTGAGGCATGAAATGCAATCTAGTCCGGGCCTGAAACATCTTACACTTGTCACATGTGAAGACTGAGGCATCCCAGGAAAAAACACCCTCCCCTTAAAACTTTCCCATATTTGCAGTAGCAGAAATGATCCCTCCCTGATCGTCTCTGAAGTATGAAGGAGCTCGCTTGCACTTTCTGTCGTTTGGCAGGCCAGCACGGGTCCCTCCCGCCCCAGGCCACCCACCACCTCCCCACCACTGGCCACGACCCCAGGGGCCCCCAGTCTGGGCCTTCCAGTGTCAGCAGCAGCATCCTGTAAGAAGGTGGCCGGCATGGTGGCTGACAGTCCACCCGAATTCTCCATCTACTGACCGCTCATGTTTTCACACTGGGTCTTCAGCGACGACCCAGTTTGTTGTCTTTATCCCGGGTTCCACGGACAGATTTTTTGGTCCTCTTTGTAGGAAGCCAGTGTTCGGTGAGAAGTGTCTTATGAATCTGGATCAGGCGTGGGGCTGTCTGAATGCTGATCTTACGAGAGAGAAGATGTATAAACAGGTCTTTTTAGTGACAGTTCCTTTCTTGTCACGGCTGTCTTCACTCAGGCCCCGCCCGCCGCAGACCCCGGGCTGACACGCCTGCAGCTCATCCAGGGAAAGGGAGCGTGCCTGTGCTGTTCTCCACGCGTGTTTCCCGCCCAGCGCTGCTCGGGGCTCCCCGTCCACGCGGGCAGCACCGTCTGAGCGGCTGGCTGGGTCTCGCTGGACACGGCTCGGACAGCCTGCCTGGTCACCGGCCCCACGGTCGCCCCAGGCTCCGTCCAGGCTCTGGCCTGTGTCGTGGGGCAGTCAGTAGGCAGGAGGTCACTTTTAACATCAGAGAAGTTTGTCTTCACTTACTGTGAAAGAGGGTCAGTCTAAACCAGAGGCCCAACATAAAATACCGAATTAAGCCAATCTTAGTTCACTCTGAACAAAGTAGCTTTCAGCATGCATGCTCCTAGATTTCAAAATATCCTATAAGGTAATCAAATAATGCACATTTTTATCCCATTGGCATTCTGATTTTAGGGGGCCTTAGCATATATATTCTTTTGCAAGAAGGAATAAATTTCTAGATATTTTTTTGAAGCTTTAAATACCTATCCAGATACGATGCAGACCACAAGGGTAAACCTTGCCTTTCAGTAAGTATTCAAGGGAATTAGAATGCAATCATTATAATCAGAGATTTTTAAGTCAAGAGCAAAAGCTTCCAACTGAAGAGGCTCCACGCTTCTAGTTGGTATTAACTAAAAATTTTCGGAACCCACCATGGGAGATGGTTTTAATAGGTGGATCAGGTTGCCAGCGCACTACCCCTCTGGTCAGTCTTAAAGTCCAGACATCAGGGCAGCTGGTGAGTGTGACTCAGTAGGAAGGACTCAGAGCCCTCTGAGAAACACATCTGACTCAATAGACGAACCTGAGCCTGAGGAGGCCCAAGACCTAACACCACTCGTGGTCCAGAGACCGTCGGGGGTTGAGGAGCCCCTGGGCCCAGCTCCCCGAGGGTGGAGTGGGCCAAGCCCCCACATAGGGCGTTCACACCCAAATGACCCTGTTTCCTCAGCAGCCACAGGAAAAAGGTACTAAAAAGATAGGAAGGAGGAGCAGCAAGCAAGCTGAGACCTATCAGCCAAACATCACAGTTTGACTTTTATTGAGTCCTGATTCAAACAAAGCAACTTTAAAAAGACACGTTTGAAACTAAAATCCAGGAAAATTGAACGCCAAGTGGGTAGAAGGTGATTTTAACCAATTGTTGATTTTACTGGACTTCCCTGGTGGTTCAGATGGTGAAGAATCTGCCTGCAATGCGGGAGACGCAGGTTCGACCCCTGGGTCAGGAAGATCCCCTGGAGAAAGGGAATGGCTATAGATTCCAGTGCTCTTGCCTGGAGAATCCCAGGAACGGTTGATTTTGGTAGATACGATGCACTGCGGTCACTCCTTTATATTTCAGAGATAAAATAAGCACCACGCGTCTTTTCTGCAGGGAAGCAGAGGACTGGACGGGTACCAAGGCTCTGACGGATTGCCAGGACCCAAGGTGGGCCCAGGTCTCCTCTGGGGGGCGGGGCGGCTTTCACTTCCTCCGGGTGCTGTTCCCATCCCCTCCTGTGCACCCTCATGGGAGAAGGGGGAGGGGCTGAGCGAGCGGACACTGCAGCAATGAGAAGGTGGGGGCCCTGGTTGCCATGAATAATCCCATGGGGGGCGCAGGGGGCTGAGGACTTGGGGCGCACCTGCTGCAGCTGTCAGGGGACCCAGCAAGGTGGGGGCGCATCCCACCAGGCGAGGAACTGCTGATGAGGACAGAGGGCTCACGGCCAGGCCTTCTGGGGCTGGAGAGGCTCAGAGGCATCTAGGCAGCTCGTGGAGTTTGGGCCTCACAGTCCAGACGGTATTAGATCGGGTGTGGGCACACAGCCCCAGCTCACCCTCACGGGCGATCCGACGGCGCCATCAACGCAGAGGAGTCTTCCCGGAGGCAGGCGGTCCCCGGGCCGCTCCTGGTGTCTGACAGGGTCTCAGGGTGAGAGGGGCCCCTGCCCGCTCCATCCTCTGCCGGCTGGCAGCCGGGAGGCTGGACCGACCAGCGCCGCCGCAGCGCGGGCGTGGAGTGCGGGCAGCGTTTAGGGTCTCAGGGCTGGGCACAGCCTCCGCCCGGCTCCTCATCCTCTCCCATCTGGGAGCAGCCGTCGGGTGCAGAGGGCGGCTCACCTCCTCTCGTTTCCCTCTCTTCCTTCTCCAGGGAGAAACGGGCGACCCCGGCCCCCCCGGGCTGCCGGCCTACTCCCCGCATCCTTCCGTGGCCAAAGGTCTGTGCTGTGCGTTCTTCGCATTCACATCTCCCGGGCTTTGTGGTCTGTGGTGGACCCAGAGCCATGAGCTCGGGGGAAAGACTTTCTGTTCAGCAGTTAACCTCGGAGAACCTGTCTCGTGAACGCTCCCTCCCTGTGGGATGAGAGGGGTGGCACGGAGCGCCCCCCGCTTCCCTCCACCGGGAAAGGCTTTCGTTCCGACCCGCCTCGTGTGGGCTCTGGCCTTGCCCCCTGCAGCGGCGCCGCAGAAGCCCAGCCTCGTGCCCGCCAGGCCTCCGTGGGTGCGGCCCAGCCCCTGCCCTGGTTTCCGCTCCAGCTCTGGGCGCACCCGCCCTGGGCCTTCCGTTTGGCTGACGTGCCCCCTGGACGTCCTCCCCTTGACCTCCTCCGCTGTCCGCTGCCCGTGTCAGCTGTCAGATGGCGCGGCCTGCTGCCTCTCTGGCCTCTGACACAGCGCCTGTGGTGCCATCAGGCGCGCGCCTCTGTGGAATCGAATGTTGGTCAAGCGTGTAGCACTGAGCCCGCACACTCACGAGCTCAGAAATATTGTCCACTGTTATTTTCATTCTCCGTGGTCCCTCAAAGTCAGACTTCCCCCCCCCACAAATAACCCTCCTGTCCTTTGAAACCTCCTTGTATTGTTTTGGTATCCTGTGCCTGTCTCATTTTATAATATTTATAGGAATTTTATATCTGTTTGGGCTTCCCGGGTGTCTCAGTGATAAAGAATCTGCCTGCCAATACAGGAGACGTAGGTTCCATCCCTGGGTTGGGAAGATCCCCTGGAGGAGGAAATGGCAAGCCACTCCAGTTTTCTTGCCTGGAGAATCCCATGGACAGAGGAGCCTGGCGGGCTGCAGTCCCTGGGGTCGCACAGAGTCAGACGTGACTGAGCGGCTAAACAGCAAGAACGTCAGCCTTGTTTGATTGAGGTTGAGCTCCCTGATGGCGGGGCCACCGTAGATGAAACATTTGGGCCCTGCACGCCTCATGCGATGGACAGGGCATCAGTCCTTGACCTGCAACGAGAGCGTGAACATCTGCCCCGAGGCCTGAACAGTGGTCCTTTCATCGCGGGGTGTCTGTCTCGGTTCCAGGTGTCAGAGGTGAGCCGGGATCCCCAGGACAGCCCGGAGAGCCAGGAGCCCGCGGGGAGCCAGGAGACCCCGGTCTGCCGGGCCGGCCGGGCACGTCCATCGGAGACGAAGGTAGCGAGCTTCCGTGGTCTCAAAGCTAAGATGTGCGCTTGGGTCTCCTGCGAGTCCCGCCCCTCGCTGGTGCTCTGCCCCTTCGGCTGGCCCGAGCGTGCCTGCGCTCGGGTTGTCTGGATGTGGTCACAGAGCTGCTGTGTCCTAACTAGGCTAGATGCGCTGCTGACGGTAACACGCGCGGTTCTGTCTGTTTCTTGGCTGGGAGGAGCACGGGCTTCCTCCGACGTCTTCGCCAAGCATTCTAACAGCTCTCGGGCCGTCCCCTGGGGGCAGGCAGAGGGGCTTTTTAGAGTGGATCAATGCTGATGAAATATACCAGCGGCATGGCCCTTTAGGTCGCTGGCTGGACCGTAAACCACTGGTCCAAGGGGGTGTCCGGAGTCTCGGGGCACAGCAGCGCTGTGGCTGAATCCCAGGGGCTCACAAGGCTATGTTCACTGTTGGGTTTTCAGATGAGAAGAGAGGCTTGCCAGGCGAGATGGGACCCAAAGGCTTCACAGGAGAACGGGGTTTCTCCGCGGTGTACCCCGGACCCCCGGGGACCGACGGGAAGCCAGGGCTCCGCGGCCCCCCCGGGCGCCCAGGACCACCCGGCCCAGACGGTAAGTGGAGGGAGACTCAAGGGCGGGGTGTCCGGACGACGGGGCCTGGACGCAGCCGCGTTCTCACTCGGGGTTTTTCTGCTGATTCATTCTGCGGATGAGGCGGCGGCCGGTGGGGGCAGAGGTAGCAGGCCATCCAGGGTGCAGACAGGAAGGGCCCGCCGTGACTCCCCCTGCCCTGGGCTGACCCCCGCGGGGCAGACTTGAGGCTCTGCCTTCTGGGCCCCCTCGAGCCAGAGCTGCCACTGAGCAGGTGGCGATGCTTGACGCCAGGAGTGGCCGGAGCGCCTGGGGAGACACGGCAGCCTTGGGGGGCCCAGACGGAAGATCTGAGCCTCAGACTGGACGGGCATAGCGTCTGGACCCCGGTGCTGTCGGGCGTGGGGCCCCGAAGCGTCAGACACGGCTGAGCGGCCACGCACAGCACCGCAGTGTGTGGGTCCAGCTAAAAGGGAGATTCAGAGACGCGGCTTCTGTCGCTCCCTTTGCTGCCTCTTGGGAAGAAACTTTCGGAGGCGTGAGAAGCGCGTTGAGGGCAGAAGGCAGCCGTTACCTCTCTGGTTCCAGTTTGTCCTCTGAGTTACTCGGGTTCTGTGTTCCCAATTTCCCTTCAACTGCAAAAATCAGATTCTTACAGTCTTTTGAAAAATTTCGGTACAGATATTTCCCTGGAATTTGCCAAGTGGTTTGAGCAGTGTAATCACTAATATTTTTTATTATCCTCACAGTAATGTTTATTCCCGTACCATCTGTGATAATGGCTGAGTTTCTCTGAGCATTACATGTCACGAGTCAATGGTGTCTGTTGCGTTTTCCCTTTTTTGGCAACAGAACATGATGTATTAAAAATAAAAGCATATAAATATGCCTCTTTAAAAGATGGTGATGGAAGGCTAACCTTGCCATCCTTCCTGTAACTAAATTCCATTTTGATAAAGACACAAACGCATACCATCTGGCTTCATAAATCTTACTTAGTAAATCTACAACTTACTCAGAAGTCGTCTGTAAACACGTGGACTAATTTCTGGTCCATATGGTTAACTGAAGAAGAAATTTATAAAATAGATGGAATGGTGTCTGATAGATTTATCAACTTAAAAGTTCAAGAGCACACAACTTTAGTTCTCCTTCAAGTATTCATTTTACCCATGAGACACATTGTTCCCAAATCACTTTTTAGAAGCAATCTCTTGTACAAAAAGTAGTCAAGCATAATGGCCTTTTAAAATAGTTTTGTGAATAGTCATAATGTAATATTGATGATCTTGAGTCCCAGAGCCCTCCAGCCTTTCCCCTGGAACAAATTTTTGGATTCTTTTCTTGTTATCTGCATTTCACCTGGCTTTCTGTGTTGCTACTGATGGAAACCAGAATTTTTAGTCTTTCGCAGCTCCAGCAAAAGCAAACCATGAAGGCATTTTTCTTTCTGAACTAAACGTCTGCTTACTCCCAGCTCCAGCTCGATCAACCAGGCTGACTGTTGGGGCAGTTCCATTGTGCTCTAGGATAAGTCAGGGTACGGCCAGATTTCTTACAGCCACCTCAGGAAAATCACGTTGGAAAGATGACAGAGGCTCACTGCTATCCTTTAGGACTCGCTTGAAATTATTACTTTATCAGATGAAGAAAAGGCAGCACAGGTAGGAGGGGGAGAGAGGTGCGCCTTCAGGGAGCCCCAGAGTGCCTTTTCTGGGTAGACTTGCGAACGGTGTGAAGACGACCACAGTGTGTCTATCTCAGATTTTAGAAGCCAGCAGCCCTGAAGTATCCATGGTTAAATAACTCCCTGTAGTACTAGCTCCTCCTAACTCATCAGGAGAACTTGGAGACATAGCATAAAGCCCTCAGTCCACCGCCAGGCTGGCAAGCTCTTGACCTGGTCCCCAGGGCCCAGGGAGCCTATGCTGGGCACCGTCTGCTCCATCAGAGCCCCCGGCCGGCAGCCCCAGCACGCACTCTTCTCTGGCTCGGCCGTCTCTCCCCTTCCTTCCGAGGCTCCTTTGCTGGGCCTCCCTTCTTCCCCCCCACCATCCCGTGGAGGATGGAAGTCCTTGCCCGTGTCTCTCCACCCAGAAGACTCCTGCTTTGACAGGAGTTTAATACCATGATGTGTCTCTCCACCCAGAAGACTCCTGCTTTGACAGCAGTTTAATACCATGATGTGTCTCTCCACCCAGAATCCTGCTTTGACAGGAGTTTAATACCATGATGTACCGGCTGTCCCCAACTGCATCCCCATTGCCAGAATCTTGGCTCCCTGTCCACCAATGCCAAATAGAAATACAGAGACAGAGTTCAGAGGAAATAGAAGAGTGCCTTATTATTTTTGCCAGGCACAGGGGAAACACGGCAGGCTAGCGCCTCGAGAACTGTGCCCCCACGCCTTCTCAAGAATAGGTTGAGGTTTTACAGCCTCTTGAAGGTCTTGCATTTTTTTTTTCTGCGAAGTTTCAAAACGGCCACAGCTGGCATCAGGCAACTCAGCAAGCGGGTCCAGTGTCGCTGAGGCTCCCAGCCCCAACCTTCTCTCTGAAATGCAGTGTGCAGCGGGCGAGTGCCAGGTGCGGAGCGTCGCCTCTGTGGGGTCAGAGCGTAGTCAGCCTCGTGAAGGACGGGGTCAGTAAGGGCTGACGGGTAACCGAGGCTGTTTACGTCCTGCCGGCCTGTTGGGCTGGCACCTGCCAAGGCTGTTCGCGCATTTCTATTCTGCGGCGACGTCCCCAGCCTAGCCCCGTGCGCTGAGCCGCAGACTCCCCCCGGCGGTTAACTGGACGCCTTGTCACCGCTGCGTGTCTCCGGGCATCTCTAGCCTGGTGAGCCCTCAGCCGGACTCGGGTCCCCCCTCCCCAGGCCCTCAGCCGGGGCCCCGTCTGTCTCCACCGACACCAATAGCCAGACCCGGGGCGTCAGCACCCTGCCTTGGTGCTTCTCGGGGATGTACAGCCTCGTTCCCGCCACAAGATGGCGCTCCGCTCGAGCAGAACACAGCGTTTTCTGGGCTTTCAGAGTCTATTTCTCAACGCGTAGCTCAGACGTCCTTGCTTGGGATGGTCAGAGCCCCACAGACGAGCAGGACGCCCGAAGGGTCCCCGTCCCAGTGAGGGGGAAGGTGGGGAGGGGCTGGGTCACAGGTTATCCACACGGTTACACGTGGGCGTGTGTGGACGTGTGTGCACCCAGGGTGGAAGCCCCTGGGCCCTGCGGGGAGGGGCGTGCCCAGGTGCACCTGTTCCAGGCCGGGGACAGAGCAGGGAGGAGTTCCCCTTAATCCCTTCCATGGTTTGGTTTTGCTCTGGGTCTTTGTCTTTCTGGGAACCAGAGGTCATGGTGATCTCAAGTCTTTAACACGTAAGTGAAATACATGATTAAAAAAAAAATCAAAACTCCTCTTTGGACTCAACATTTCTGAAAAGTAAAGATGTCTATTTGTAGACTTTAATGGAAAAACTGAAATCACAGGTGTTCGCGTGTCTTCCAGCCCTGGAAGCAGTGGCCACAAAAAGGAAGTCTCCGTGTCTTTCTGAGAGCGCCTGGGCTGGAGTTGGGCGGGGGGTGGTCGTCTGTTGGGAGATACGGCTGTAAACCTTCCCTCGCAGGAAGCCGGCGCCGGGCCTTGGGCTGAGCTGACATGCCGTCCTTGTGGGTCTTCCCCTCAGGTTTCCTGTTCGGCCTGAAAGGAGCAAGAGGAGGTGGGGGCTTCCCTGGCTCCGCCGGGTTCCCCGGGGCTCGCGGACAGAAAGGATGGAAAGGTGAGGCAGGCCGGGGCGAGGGGGCGCGACAGCCCACCCCCCGCTGGTTCTGAGACCACGCTAAGACCCCCAGCCCCGCTCCCCGCCCCAGGGGTGTGAGGACCAGGGTGGGCGCGTCCTGCAGTGCGGCCCTCCCAGCCCAGCCCCTGCCGCCATGCCCTCCTGCCCCCTGCAGAGCCCCAGGAGGGTTGTACCTGCGCGTCGCGGATAAACAGCACGGCGCCCCCTCTCCCCCACATTGCAGGTGACGCCGGCGACTGTAAATGTGCAGACCAGTTCATCAGGGGGCCTCCGGGGCTGCCAGGACCCAAGGGCTTTGCAGGCATCAATGGGCAGCCTGGCAGTAAAGGCAGCCAAGGAGACCCCGGCCAGCACGGCCTCCCTGGCTTCCCCGGGTTCAAGGTGAGATCTGCCACGAGACCGACAAGATGACCTTGACCCCTGACCCTGCGCCCCCCCCCCCCCCCCCCCGCCCGGCTTCCATTTACTGAATCACACACGTTAGAGCAGCAGCACTTAGGCACCCAGGGCACCATTCAAGAAAAGCTGCATGTTCCCAGAGACGCTTAAACCTTTTCCTGGTGGGAACGTGAAGCGGGGCAGCTGTTGTGGAAAACAGCTTGATGCTTCCTCAGAAGGTCAAGTGTAGAGGTGTCACGTGACCCAGAAAGTCGCCTCCTAAGTACAGGCCCAGGAGACTGAAAGCAGGTGTCCACACCGAAACTTGCACTTTGCCGTTCACGGCGGCATTCACGCCCTAGCTGGAAAGCGGAAACAGCCCCGGTGCCCGTAAGTGCTAAATGGATGGAGCAGACGTGGCGTCCCCACCTGATGCAACGTCGCTCATTCATCCAGAGGCGTGAAGTGCTGGCATGTGCTTCAGCAGCTGCCCTCAGAAACACTGTGCTAAGTGAATGAGGACAGACCCGGTAGAGCAGGCCCTATATGATGCCACTCCTGTGAAGTGTCCAGAGCAGGGCTGTCCAGGCAGAAAGTAGGTTGGTGGTTGCCAAGGGCTGGAAGGACAGACAATGGGAGTGACTGATTCTTTTTGGGGTGATGAAAATGGTCTGGAATTAGGTAATAGTGACGGTTGCAGAACTTTGTGAAAATACTAAAAAAAAAAACCCACCCTGAATTACATGCTTTAAAATAATTAATCTTATGTGAGTTATATCTCAAAAAAAGAAACCTGTCTGTACTTCAGATTTAGTGTTTTATGAAGGCTCCCTTCACTCCATAAAAAGCGAGACATCCAAGTAAATCATGAATGTACTTTGGATGAATGTGTGGAATTTTCTGCCTGTGGATTCCAGCTAAGTGGGCCTCGTTTCACAGCCTAAGAAAAGATGGTCTGGAGTAGGTCTTTCTCTGTGGCAGGTTTTAACCCACTAGTGATTTCAAAGCAAATTTCAGGGGTAGACAAACTACTTTTTATTTATTTTTTACTTAAAAAGAGAACTGCGGGACATTTGTACAGCAGAACATCTAGCATTTTGTATATTCAGCAGTAGATGAATGTTTGCTCAGGACCCCTGGCCAAGGATGCTTAGAACCACCTGGCGAGGTGTCGAGACGCAGGTGGCGTGCAGCCCCTCAAGCTGCAGGTGCAGAGGGTCATTGCTCAAACTGCTTCGTGCTGAGGGAGCTTTGCAGGTGAAAATGAGGTCTAAAGCCCCTCTCTGCTCCACTCTCTGGGACTTCCCAGAAGACAAATGCTTTTATCCAACTGGACATAGTAGGTGCTGCATTTCCTGCTAGTTTAAAAATGACATCATCTCCAAATTCTGGCTAAGCATGTAGAAGTTTCTCAAGTATTCAGAAAAAGCGTGCATGGTGCAAATCCAAACTGAGGAATGGTGGAACTGGCAGGATGTTCAGTTCTTTGTTAAGTGATGGAGTATTCCGAGAAGCCAGGTGGATCTCATGTTATGCCCATGGAATGTCTAAAATCTCCCAAGAGCGTGTGCTTTCCCCGGCTGTGTTGCATGCATACCCACAGCACCTGCGTTCAAACGTCTCAGGTATTGTAGCTAAGTTGTGTTCGGCTCTTTGCGGCCCCAGAGACTGTAGCCTGCGAGGCTCCTCTGTCCATGGGCTTCTCCAGGCAAGGATACTGGAGTGGGTTGCCATGCCCTTCTCCGGGGGATCTTCCCCACCCAGGGAATGAACCCGCGTCTCCTGCACTGGCAGGCGGATTCTTTACCACCGAGCCACATCTTGCATTTGATTGTATGCTTATGTATCTGCAGCAGGAATGCCGCAGACAGTTTTTTTGTGGTTTAGTATCTATACTGATAGGATCTGCCAGAGCACCTCAAATATGGAAGTCGGTTAGTAAATGAACCCGTGCATCCATCCAGTTGCCCAGAACCTCCGAGTCATGCCCTGCCTCTGTGGGAGACTTTGTTCTAGATACAGAGAGAATGTCACCCTTTTCTGCAAAGGAACAAAATCGATAAATCAAGTATCTGTGGACTTTTTAAGGAGAAAAGAACACTTCATTTGAAACATTCCATTTAATTAAACCAACACTTAAAGCTCCCTTATTCTTACAAATACCAGCAACCAAGGCTTGCCCAAAACTAGCACGTCATGCACATTAAAATGCATCCTGTGACTTCCCTGGTGGTCAAGTAGCTAAGACTCTGCACTCCCAGGGCAGGGGGCCAAGGTTCCATCCCTGGTCAGGGAACTAGACCCTGTGTGCCACAACTAAGAGTTCTGGCGTGCTGAAACTAATAATTTTTTTAAATGCATCCTGAAATGTTCATCTGCTCATTTCTGCTCACTGAAAGACCTAAACTAGATTTCACAGCTTTAAATGTGAATGTCCCCAACTTGAGTTGTCTCTAAAGTATGATTTTTTTTTCAACCTTGATTTCAGTTAGGAAGACAAGCTATAGATTAAATACTCTTATTGTTCAATATTGAATGATCACAAACATCGTTCATACCTGGCGGCTTACTATTTGCCCAGATTCTACAAAATTGTAGTTGAGTTAGCAGCCTTGAAGTCGTGGTAGAGGATCGCTTCTCCAAAGTTAAAGAGTTTGTGACTGGGGATGGCGTTTCTGCGGCCCTGGGCTGGGCTCTGAGACTCTGCCTTCCTGACAAGCTCCTGGGGAGGCCGGAGTTGCCCACCTGCGGATCACACATTGAGCAGCAAGGTTCTTACTTTCTGCATCCAGCCATGTGTGGCTACGTCCCTTAAGTTTTAGCTACTTAAAATTTTACAGTCAGCATCTGAGTTCCACCGGCCCCATTCAAGTGCCCCGTGGCCTTTGGTGGTTGGTGGCCGTGGCACTGGGCGGCCGGGACAGACGTGTCCGGCTCTGGGCTTGATGCCAGGTAAAGGCCCTCAGGTCATAGGAACGGGAATTGTCTTCTCGGAGGCCCCGGACAGGATGGAGAAAGAAGGAACTGTGTGTTTGTTTCCATAGGGAGCCCCTGGTAATGTCGGTCCTCCCGGGCCCAAAGGGATGAAGGGAGATTCCAGGACCATCACCACCAAAGGTCAGTCTCTGTGGGTGGCGGGTCCAAGACCGTTCGCCCCCTGTTGGCCCTGGAAGGGTAGACTCACACCGTGCTCCTCCGCCAGGTGAGCGGGGCCAGCCCGGCGTCCCAGGCGTTCCAGGGCTGAAAGGTGGCGACGGCATCCCAGGACCGCCCGGGCTCGATGGGTTCCACGGGCTCCCGGGCCCTCCCGTGAGTATCTCGGGGGGTGGTAGGGGGAGCGGAGAGGGGGCTCAGCCCTCACCCCCGTCAGCCACGTTCTTACACACCTGAGCATCAGAGGTGCTGACTAGCCCGACACCCTCCAGCTCAACCTGTCCTCTTTTAATGAGCAGGAATCATAGTTTTTAAGGGAACAGTGAGTGGGGTTGAAGCCAAGCCCAGAGTGAACATTTGAAAGAAAAAGAGGAAATAAACATTCCTCCTGCTATAATGTAGCCTGAGAGACCCACCCCCTCTGCCAACCGAATATTCCTAGATGGATGGGGGAACACTTTTTCAAGGATTGCTTGTAAAACACACAACTTCGTTTTTTCAACACACGCACACCCATGTTGCAAGAGAGTGTGTGTGGTAGAGGCAGAGCCCCAGCCTCCTTTCTGCAGGAAGATGGAGGGCAGACGGCGAGGGGCAGGTGGCCGTGGACCCCAGAGTCCTCTGCCCCGTTCCGAGCTCACCCCAGCCCGCGGAGCGGAGTGAACTGGACGTGGTGGAGCGCTCTGCCTCCCAGCCTCCGCTCTGCTGGTCCCACCATCTCTCCTTATTCTAACAAGCTCGCTGCTCTTTCTCGTCCAAAGACTTCCTCCCATTTACCACTGCACTGCCCCTTGGGAATAGGAGACCGGTCACAGGTGCTAAGTCCTAAAGATAAAATAATGTGTTCCTGCCCCGTTTAGCCAGATCTCTGCATAACTGCTCTCTCGAAGAATTCCTCCTGAGATTGAAGGTCCAAGCAGAGCTTGGAAAAGAAAAATACTCAAACAGATTCCCATCCTCTAGAGTCTTGTTCGTGGCTGTCGTGACGTCTACCCTTTGTTTCTGTGACCTGGCCAGACCGTGACCGGGGTTCCTGTTCATTCCTGCTGTCTTCTGCCCCGTGTCCATAGCGCGGAATTCGGGGGTCAAGGCGGCGGGCCTGGCAAGATGGCTGTCTCTGAGGTTTCCACGTGCTGTAAGAGATGTTCCTGATTTCTCACAGGGCGATGGCATCAAAGGCCCCCCAGGGGATGCAGGCCAACCAGGAGCCCCTGGCACGAAGGGCCTTCCAGGGGAGAGGGGCCCCCCAGGACTGGGCCTGCCGGGCCCCAAAGGCGAGCGCGGCTTCCCCGGCGATGCTGGATTGCCCGGACCACCAGGCTTCCAGGGGCCTCCCGGCCTCCCTGGCGCTCCAGGACAGATCGGTACGCGGGCCCAGGCTTGCCTCTTTCACAGTCGTGAGACACTGTTTGTGCTTCCACACCTGCTGCTCTTCCCCAGCAGTGTGTGAAAGGGGTGGGGCCGGGGCGGTCACACGAGGCGCTGCGCTGCTCCATCAGTCCTCAGCACGCACGCGCGCCACCCGGCCTGGGGTTTTCCAGACCTAGCACGGGCTCTCACCCCAGCTGGACGTACAGAGGCGGAGCACCGAAGCTCAGAAATGGGCCTCCAGTGCCCTGCCCGCCCCAGCCTTCCCACCAGCACACACCCGCATGCACACGTGTGCACACACAGATGAGCCAGGCTCTCTCCACCGTTGCACAATCGCCTCACCCTGCCGCTTCGTCTCTCCCCCAGATTGTGACTCGGGTGTGAAAAGGCCCATCGGAGCAGACGGACAGGAGACCATCCAGCCAGGTACTGTCACGACAGGACCCTTAGAAACAGTTTATAGGGTCTGTGCTCATGGAGAGCGGCCGGGGGTCCCGCCGGGGGCACGGAGCTGCCGTCAGAGTAGAAACACGTGCGGACTCGCCGGAGAACCCCGGGCAGGGCCAGGGGATGACCACGTGTCACCAAGCTGTCCCCACAGCACGAAGCGGCTGTTTTCAGGGTTGGCCAGACTCCATGGATACATGCTTTCTCACCTAGAGCGTGTCTGTATGTGTGTGGACAGCTGTGCATCGTGTACCCGTTAAACAGGGTGAGGATCGGGGCCACGTGTGAGAAGGCTTTGGTCCAGCCGTGAACGAACGCTCGAGAGAGCAGGGCCGATGGGTATAGAGAGGATGCCTGGTGACCTTGGCTCTGTGGAGGGGAGGGGGCAGTGCAGAAGCTGACCCGGCTGCCATCAGACAGGCAAAGCCTCCAGCCGGGAGGCCTAGAAACTGGCGGGGGGAGTTAGAAACCAGTTGGGGGGGGGGGGCGTAGAAACTGCAGGGGGAGCCAGACAGAGGGGTGAGTCCAGGGGGGTGCCGGTCAGGATTTGAAGAGCAGAGAGCAGAGGGTGAGGTTTTGAGTCGAAGAGGCTGGCAGGCCATCTGAACATTGGGGCGGCGGTGCCTCTCCTGTGGGAGTCGAGGTCTGGGGCCGACTCTCAGGGTGCAGGCCGGGGTTGGAGAAGGACCTCAGGACCTGCGGGCCCCGCCTCAAGGTGTGCGGGTGGGTCAGGCACTCGGGCCAGCCTGCAGAGCGGGAACAGCAACCCCGGAGCTTCCAGAGGTCTGGCCAGTCTCGCAGCTGCAGGAAGGCCCTGGGGGTGCGGCTCTGCAGGTTGGAGGCCGGGCCCCCTGAAGACGTCCAGGGTCCTTTCTTCTGATGACCTGGGCTGGCCATCTGGGTACCTCGAACCGCTCCTGTGGCAGAGGAGCCCACAGCTCTTCTCTGGCCGTCAGGTGGGGCCACAGTAGGAGCCCTGCCAGACCCCAGGCCGACGGACCAAGGGCCTCTCAAAGAACCGCTGCCCCTGCACAGGTTCCCAGTCTGACAAAACACCCCTGCGTGGGGTCCCCAGCCGGAGGGGTTCCCCAGCCGGAGGGGTTCCCCAGCCGGAGGGGTTCCCCAGCTGGAGGCGGCCACCACCAGGTTTCGTCCTGCACAAACCCAGCGGCAAGTTGTAGCCGGTTCTGAACGTAATCAAAGTCACAGAGCTTCTTTCAAAGTCTTCCTCCATCCCCGGTGGAAATTTCCAAAGAAAGAAAGGCGCCCACGCTGGCTGACATGCATGGAGGGCCCAGATGAATGAGGCTGACTCGCCCTGATGAGGGGACCCCTCCTCTGCCAGCACGGCCCCCATTAGCCTCCGATGGGCCTGCCTTCATTTGCATGTCATATTAACATTATGATTGCGTTACACCGTGAAATTAAAGTTACATCAGCGTTGAGATTAATTGAATCATCAGATCAGCCTGATCATTAAATGGTAGCAGGTTTTCACAGCTGATGCTCTTGACTTTGGCAACGTCTGACGCCATGAGGCTGGGTGTGGACAGTGGTTCAAACGGCCCTCTCCTCTCTCGGCAGGTTGTGTTGGAGGACCCAAGGGATCCCCAGGCCAGCCGGGCCTCCCCGGCCCCCCAGGTAATGGGAAAGCCCTTCCCGCCCTGCTCGGAGCATCCCCACCTTCCCTGCCCCTCTGGCCCTGCTTCTCCGCCCCGGTGACGCCCCTGCCCAACGTCCAGGGTTCTTGGTACAATACCGCACGCTGGCCGCTTCTGCGGGAGGCTGACTTGCGCGCATCGCTGCGGGAAATTGAGTGGTGACTGACACCTAGCTACAGCCCGAGCCTGTGGTCCACACGGCTCTCCATGAGCCTCCCTGCCCGAGCCCTGGGGAGGCCTGTCTGCCGTGGGCCCCACACAGGCACCAAGGCTGCTGCCCCCAGAGTGGTGACCACTCCCGGGGGGCGGGCTCGGGCCCGGGGGAAGCAGAGCCCGGGAGATACACCCGTCAGGTGAGAGGAGAGAGGCGTGAACAGCCCTCAGCTTCTGGTGTAGGCCGACATTCTGGTGTGTGTAGACCTACATTTCTGGTGTAGCTCGACATTCCATTGCTGGTCTACACCGACCCTCAGTTGCTGGTGGAGACCCATACTTAGCCCTGCCAGCTGCCAGGGGTACTGTTTCTGGGCTGATGTGCCCCGGGCTCATCACTTCCCTGTTTCCTAAGAGACTGTGTGAGGTCAGGGGCTGGCCTTGACCCCCTCTGTCCCTCTCCTGCTGGGGTCTCCGCATGCAGCTCTGACGTGTGTCTGGGTCTCTCTGGGTCATTTAGGTGCCAAAGGCCTCAGAGGAGTTCCAGGATTTTCAGGAGCCGACGGAGCGCCAGGGCTCAAGGGTCTCCCAGGAGATCCGGGTCGAGAGGGATTCCCAGGACCCCCAGGTGAGTCGGGGTGGGGCGCCACTCAGCCCCGTAGGTTCGGGGAAGGACTGTGTGTTCCATCTGGGTGCCCCAGCTCCGTTGTCTTAACATTTAGAAACTGCCAACACATGCTCAGTGGCAATTTTTGCTGGTCCTTGGGAAATTAAAAAGTGTCTCCCTTTTCATCACTGATGTTTTGTGGAAGAAGCTTACAGATCTTGCATGAGAAAAAAAAAGACAGGTAGGCAGAAAGGTTTTTCTCTGGTGGATATGAGGCATTCTAAGGACACGTAAACTTACCCTCTGAGCCCTCATCATCAATATCTGATCTGCTGATCGCTCACTGGATACCACGCAAAGAACACGTGTGTTTTGCTGTTCACGGCATTGCCCGTCTGTGCTGCAGTTTACAGCTTGTCTGAGTTAGCGGTTCAAACCATTTCATCTACATTTGACCCAGCAAAGTATCATGGGAGCCATTTAGTGGCTGAAAAAGCTTAAGCCCTTTAGCTGTATATGGACGGAAATGAGCATGTTTCCAGTAATGAACGGTGGGCAGAAGTTGGCAGCAGCTGCCTGCGTGTCCACACACCCTGGAAAACGACTCAGCGACCCCAGACACAGGTGTCCCTTTGGGGTCCCGGCTCGGAGGGGGCGCAGGAGCCCAGCTGTGTTAGCTGGTGTGCAGAGGGCCAGGCACTGGGGAATTGTGTTATCTGAACAAAGCTGTAGGTGGCTTCACTGAGCCCCCCCAAGCCAAACACCCGCTGCAGGATCCCAGCCACATCCTCTCCTGGGCTCCCTGGAATCTCTCTCGCCGCCCCACACTGGTGAAACATCGAAGCTCTCCTGCTGCTAGAAAGTCCTCGGTGGGAATGAAACCTGCCTCCCAGCAGGTCTCCGCTGATTGTTCCTTGAGTCAGTGGTTCTGCTCCGTAACCACGCCTCACCCACAAGGGGAAACAGTGGCCACACGCCCCATAGACATCTCGCAAGTGGGCAGACCTGACCCCAGGAATGCAAACATTTCTTTGTATGACTTAATATCCGTGCCCTCAGAGATCTCCCGTCCTTCTGTGACTGGCCTCCAGCTTGTGAGTGTTCCTTTCAACCGAGCTCCAGGAACTAAAGAGAACATTCCGAATGTCTGGACTCACGCAGAACAGTGGGTTCCTCACATGCAGACCCTTAGCAAGTGTTTTCAGCAAAGAACAGCCGAATTGTGCCCCTTCCCTGTCCTGCACTCAGCCAATTGGTCTAATCCCAAACTTAGAATTCAGCATCAGTCCCTGATAGACCTTCTTCCTAGAGTCGGTGTTCCAGGCCATGGGGACCGTTGCAAACCTGGATCTCATTGCCTTTCATGTTGTGTTGCTCCATGATTTGCAGAACTAGGAGGCTTGCTCCCTGTGTCTTTTATCAAGGCCTTGGAGAGAAGCAAAGAGAAGTGTTTCTACCAGCACACTGGGGGATCGTGCAGTATCATTTTGCCGCCCACCTGGGATGTTGAGAAGTTACAGCTTTGTCCCTTGGGTGACAGCACGTGTACTGAAGTGACGTGTGAATCATTTTGAGAGGATGCTAATTCGTTTTTCTTTTTTCACAAATTAATAGCATTTTATTATAGAAAAAGCATCCATCCCAAATACAGGATTTTGTAAACACTGGTAGGTGAACAAGTGCAACTTTAAATGTAAATACAAAGCAAAGAGGAAAAACCTACAAGCATTTTGCCTTTAAGAGAAAATGTCACATTCTCCTGCAGAGGTGATCCCACCCCAGCACGAATGCGGCTTCATCTCCCATAAAGGCATCGTAGCATCAACCTATAGGATGGTTAGGATGCTAGTATGTTAACACTTTCTTGCCTTGAAAATGAAGGGGGTTTAGGAATCATTGTCTGTGTGCCCAGCCGAGCAGGCTTAAACTGCAGGATCTGGCCCGCAAGTCAGATGTGCCCTCTTCAGACTGGAGAAGGGCACGGTGCTTGTGAAAGCCTGTTCCTCGTCCACAGCTGCCCACTGGTGTCTGCAGCCTCCCTGTTCACAACCGCAGACCCACGAATGCCACGGGCTTCAGTCCAGGGAACGCTGACCCGGCCGCTCCCGGTCCACCGTGGCTACCACGCAGGGCTGGGGTCAGACTCGGGGAGGCAGGAGGACACCCCTGGGAGCTATGTGGTTTGAGACCAGAGTCGCCGCGGGCACTCGAGCCGACCCCCCACAGCAGACCCCCGCTGTCTCCAGTCTTTCTGATGCTGACCTCTGCTTATGGGCACGCCCTGTGCTTCCTTTCAGGGTTCATGGGACCCCGCGGCTCCAAAGGTGCAGTGGGCCCCTCAGGCCTGGATGGACTCCCTGGCACCTCCGGCCTGCCGGGGCCAGTTGGGCCCCCAGGAGACAGGGGCCTTCCTGGAGAAGTGCTGGGGGCCCAGCCCGGGCCCCGGGGAGACTCCGGACTGCCTGGACGCCCCGGACTGAGGGGCCCTCCCGGAGAGAGAGGCCCGCCTGGCTTCAGGGGTGAGTCACGGAGGCAGAGGAGGGGGGTGCAGGGCCACTGCTCCGAGGCTCCTGGCGGGGGCAGGGTCGAGGATCCCTCCTAGGGGCTGGGGAGGAGCCCAGGACCGCACGCGGGCCCGTGGGTCTCCGGCCTGCTTGTCCTCCTTTGTTCTGGCCTTCCTTCAGAACGTTCTAGAGCAGTGATCACCGTGCTGTGTACCGCAGGGGTCCCCAGCCATTTGGGCACCAGGGGCCGGTTTCGTGGAAACAGTTCCTCCGTGGATGGGGAGGGGGGTGGGAGTAATGGGGAGCAGCAGGTCAAGCTTCGCCCGCCGGCCACACACCTTGAGCTGTGTGGTCCGGGTCCCCCCAGCCACGGACTCGCGCTGGTCCCAGGTGGGCAGGAACTGGGGTGGGGGCCCGCCGCCGCAGGACGGGTGCGGTTGGTGTGAAGAAGCCAGGGGCGGGCTGGGTTCAGACAGGGCTTGGGAGGAAGACAGATGGTCTGGCACACAGCTCAAGGTGTGGGTGCAAAAGGGGTGGTTTAGAAAACGTGGTGTTCACCACCTCATCCGTGCTTGTTCAGCAAAGCGGCAAGGTGCCCATTGACTGGTGTGTGAGCAGGTGCCCAAAGCTTTGCGTGTCCAGTTTATGCGAAATGGGCCCTGAAAGCCCAGCGCGCAGACTCCCGTGGGCTTGTGTTGCTGGAGGGGGTGGGGTGACTGCCAGGCCGCTTGGGGTCTCCATCAGAGAGGCATCAGCTGTCAGGTTATCAGCTGTGCTGTCCTTGGCCCAGCGTCCGAGCCCAGGCTGACCGGGGCTGCCTCCGGGGCGTGGGACATGATGTCCCCCCTGCAACCGCCTCCAGACCAGTGGGCATCCTTCACGAGCAACACTGAGGGTTCTCGACAGGCAGACGGATGGCCCACCGTCAGGAGTATGTGCCCGCCCATCCTGCCACAATCAGAGTATAAAGTCTTTGCCTGAGCTCTTTTACCGAAGGAGGCCTGTGATAGATTTCTTAAATGTAGCTGTTTCCCGCAGACTTCAAAAAGTCTGAGCAAAACCGCAGGAAACAGCAAGCCTGTGGAGGATTCCCACGTTCAGTGTCACCTTGATGAATTGCTGGTTTAGGCAGAGGATTCTGTTTGGTCAAAGCTCTGGCTTCCGAAGCATCAGTTTGGGGAAACTGTTTCCACATCTGTTTGACCACCCCTGGCAGCAGCAGCGGGCGGACCAGGATGTTACACAGCCATTTAATGTGCTTGTCAAGAGCATTTTAAAATGTGGCCAAGTGCTCAAAATGTAACATCAAGTGAGAAAAGCTAGATGAAAACTGCACTTGAAGTGAGACGTCAGTTCCGCAAATACCTCTTGTAAGTCTAGTCACGGGAACTAAGGCTGGAAGGAAATAAAGCAGGATGGTAGTGCTGTCTCTGGGGGAGGGCGTGCGCTCCTTCCGTCTTGTCTTTATGCTTCTGTGTGTTTTCCTGAGTCCTTACCCCCCGGAAGGCCTGTTCTTACAGGACAACTCTGCGGAGGAGGTGGCCCCTGCAGGGAGCTGCGCGGGGCTGACCTCACCGTCTCGTCTCCCCTCCCGCAGGAAGCCAGGGCATGCCAGGGATGCCGGGCCCGAAGGGCCAGCCGGGCTCCCTGGGACTCTCAGGCCAGCCGGGACTGCCGGGGCCGCCAGGACTGCACGGCTTCCCAGGGGCGCCTGGGCAGGAGGGGCCTTTGGGGCCCCCGGGCGCCCCCGGCTTTGAAGGTAAGGACCCCTGCTCCCATCTAGTGGAGGGGGCACTTGGGCATGCCCTCGGGAGCACCGCCTACAGAGCCGCCGGGGCTCTGAAGGCACTGCGCGTGGCCCAGCTCGGGACAGGAGTTCATCCTTCCGCAGTCGGGGGCTAGAAGCCCGCGGCCACGGTGGCTGCAGGGCTGCTCCCTCCCAGGCCTCTCTCTGCGGTGTGCGGGCGGCTGGCTTCTCCCCACACCCCACGGGGCCACCTCTGCCTGCCCGCACCCCATCTCTTCTTTCTATGAGGACACCCATCATCCTTGCTTAGGGCCGTCCTCGCAGCCTCATTTAATTGACCTCAGCCCCCTCTCCAAAGACCGGCTCTGAATACCCTCACGTCCCAAGTCTGGGGCTGGGACATGCATGTTCTGCAGGGACACAGTCCAGCCACAGCAGGGTCAGGACGCACATGTCCGCAGACAGGAGGGTGCACCGCTCACACCTGGACACTCACCTTTGAGGTCACACTTCCCAGCGTCCTTCCTGGTCGTTTTTCTGACCAAAAGCTGTTACAACCGAGGTCTCCAAGGTGTCGCGAGAGGAGTTCTCTCTGGGCGGCCAGCTCATCCTGTCCTGTGCCCCTCCCCCTCCAGGTCTGCCTGGAGACAGAGGGGAGCCGGGGGACACCGGCGTGCCTGGCCCCGTGGGCATGAAGGGCGAGTCTGGGGACAGGGGTGACCCTGGCCAGCAGGGAGCGCGAGGTCACCCCGGAAGCCCCGGATTTAAAGGCGTGTCTGGAATGCCTGGTGCCCCGGGACTGAAAGGTGCGTGCAGAGCATGACCGGGGACCTGCCGGGGGCGGGGGGCCGCCCCACGGGGTTGGGGGGCCACCCTGCCGTCCCCGGTGGTTCTGGGCCCTGGGGACTGCGGATGCTGCCCAGGCTGGCTGTGACCACTGTGTCCAGTGTGTGAACTTACCACGGTGGTGGGGTGGTGTCTGAGGAGCAGGCCTTACTATCTGCGAGGGGGACTCCCCGGGAGACGGGGTTCAGGTCCAGAGGCTTCTGAACAGAAACCAACACAAAGAGAAGCGCTTGGTCCGCGGCCTAGATCCCCCTGCGCGAGCGTGAGGCGCGGCCCTCTGGCCCGTGGCTGAGGGGGGGACACCAGCTTGTTCTCTGGCCTCCGCAGTGTTGGCCACGCTGACCCCCGGGGCCTCTTTCTAACCTGGTAGAAAACCGCGGAGCGGTGACTTCGGTTTCCTCCTGTCTGTCCTTTGCATCGGCCTTGCGTCTGGTCCCCGATGGCCTACAGGCTGACTCTGCCCTCACGGCGCAGACGGTCTCCTTAGCAAGTGCTGAGAAACCCTACTGAGAAACCTTACTGAGGTTGAGAGTCTTAGCGTCTCCTCACGCAAGTCACAGTGGGGCTGCCACTGCGCCAACCATCTGTGCCTAACCCATCGCTTTTCTTGTTCTCTCTGTAGGGGCCAGGGGCTCCCCCGGGATGGACGGCTTCGAAGGCATGCTCGGCCTCAAGGGCAGACCCGGGATCCCGGGAATCAAAGGAGAGGCAGGGTTCTTTGGAATTCCGGGGCTGAAGGGCCTGGCTGGTGAGCCAGGTGTGAAAGGTACGTCACCTCTCAGCCAGACTGAGACTCACTTTCAGAGGGGCCGACACTGCTCAGAACAGTGTCCCGGGAACCCACACACTAGACATCATCACGGAAGAAACTAGCTCCAGGAACTTGGTCCCTGCCGCAGCACACTGGCCATGTATTAAGGGAGTGCCCCTAGCCGAGGGACACTTGAGAACCAAACTGACCCAGCTTTAAGAACCAAAGCATCCTGAGAAATGCACCCATGTATGTTCTGAAGGGCAGGAAGCACCTTTGGTGAAAGAGGGACACGGCAGTCCAGGTGGACCGATCCACTCCATGCCGAGAGACGGTGGCCCCCAGGAGCGAGGCTGGGCCAAGCCCCGGGCCCCACCCCATGGGAGGCACGTGTTGAGGAAGAATGTTCCCAACAAGCTGTGTTTCCATGACGTTTGTTCAGATACCCTTGTTCTGAAAGTGTCATCACCGTCTCTAAAAATACTGAATTGTGGACGGGGGTGCAAAGACCTGGGGCCTCAGACCCCGCTGGGGGGAATCTCACCTGGTGCACCCAGGGTGGAGAAGCCGGCGGTGTCTTAGAGAGGTAAACCTAGTTACCCAGCAAATCTGCTCCTGGGTGCACACTCCTGGATGTGAGCTGAAAACAGGTCCACACAGAAACTCATGTGCAGATTTCATGGCAGAATGCTTCACACAATAGCCCCAGCCAGAAACAACTCAGACATCCGTCACAGATAGAGAAAACATGGTGTATAGCCATATGGAGGAATACTGTTCAGCAAAGAAAAAGGATTAGGCTCTGACACATACTACAGCACGGATGAAGCTTGACAGTGCTAGGTCACATATTACCTGCTTCTGTTTGTTGAAATGTCCGGAACAGGCCAATCCACAGAGACAGGAATGGGGTCCTCGGTTTCAGTTGCTGAGAGAGGGGAGACAGAGGCGGAGACCGCTTGTGGGCGCAGAGTTCTTGGGGGGTAGAGATGTTCTGAAGTCAGCGGGGTGGGGAGGACGGGGTTTCCCATCACCTGGGTCCCCAGCTCGCAGTCTCGAGGGAGCCATGCTACCCACAGCTCAGCCCAGCAGGGCGCGGGCTCCGCAGAAAGGAAGGCAGGAAGGCCACCGTGGCTGAGTGGCCTTCCTGATGTGGGTTCTAACACCTGCTCTGGGTGTCCAGGTGGTGACCACATTCTGTTCCCTTCCAGGCAGCCGAGGAGACCCTGGGCCCCCAGGACCGCCCCCCATCATCCAGCCGGGAATGAAAGACATCAAAGGAGAGAAGGGAGACGAAGGCCCCATGGGACTGAAAGGGTACCTGGGCCTGAAAGGTGAGACCCCGCCCAACCTCGGAGCTGGCGGCCTGGGGTCCCCTGCCTGCCTGGCCCCGATCCGTCTGAGGGTGCAGCAAGGGCGCCCCTGTGCCCGCATCCACGCTCGGCAGCCCTCCCAACACCTGAGGTCTGCCCGAGGGGCTGGGGTGGTTCCTGGAGCCTGGGGGGCAGAGCAGGGTCCCCAGAACATCACACCCCTCTTCCTGCAGGCCTTCCCGGAATGCCAGGCATCCCTGGGCTGTCGGGAATCCCGGGGCTGCCTGGAAGACCCGGTCACGTCAAAGGAGTCAAAGGAGACACTGGCATCCCCGGCGTGCCTGGCTCCCCGGGGTTCCCCGGCGTGCCTGGCTCCCCTGGAATAATGGGGTTCCAAGGCTTCACGGGCAGTAGGGTAAGTGGACACCTCCTGGGAGTGCCTCTCCCCAAGGTCTGCTGGCCCAAGTGCTGTGGTCCACAACACGGGGCTGACAGGTCCAGCGAGGGTCAGCCAGCCAAGCTGACATCTCACTTAGGAGCTGAATGCCTCTGGGAAAATCTCTGATCCTCTCTTTGCCTCCCCTCTCAAATGTGGAGAGATAACAGGACCCGCCTTGCAGGGCCACTCTGAGGCTGCGGTGGGCTCCTGAGATGGGATCCGACACACTGGCCTGGGTCAGCCTGGCAGAGGGCAGGGTGCAGTCCTGATCATCCCCACCGCCGTCACTGTGTCACTGACGGTATCAATTCCAATAAAACCGCCACTGTTGGGACTCCCCTGACAGTCCCGTGGTGGAGACTCCGCCTTGCTCTGCAGGGGCTGCCGATTAGATCCCTGGTCGGGGAGCCAAGAGCCCACACGCCGTGCAGGGTGTGACCAAAAAGAAAACTGATGTTGTCACCACTTTGAAGTTCAGTAAGAACAAGTGTGCAGACCATCTACTCTTACTATATTACACTGGAAAACTTAAGGATTTTTCTATAAAATGGTGGCATAAAAATACCTTGAGAACTGGTTTTAGCACAATAGCTGGGTACGCTCACCGTTCAAAACTGCAGACCTTATGAACGGCCTATAAGATGGTTTCCTGTTTGACTTTGCTCCAGGGTGACAAGGGCGCTCCCGGGAGAGCAGGCCTCTTCGGCGAGGTGGGCCCCACTGGTGACTTCGGTGAGTGTTGCTGGGGAAAAAAACGGGCCACCCCCGATCCAGAGTGCCTTGGGCAGCGTGGGGACGTCGGGTCCGCGGGCACTGTTAGTCGTTTAGAAGCAAATCATTGGTATTCAGACTGTAGCACCATAGAAGTTGCAAAAGTAGCCACAGGAGACCTGACCTCAGCCATCTCTTCTTGCACCTGGCAGGCGACATCGGAGACACGATAGATCTACCCGGGAGCCCGGGCCTGAAGGGGGAACGGGGCACGACCGGAGCACCAGGTACCCGAGCCACCCGCACCCCCGTCCTCCGCGGCCCTGCCGCTCCGCTGCAGTCACTCGCGAGCTGGCTTGCGCACCTCGTGAGCCCCGGACCACGTCGTAGGGCTGATCTGAGGTCTGCAAGCCCGACACACAAGGAAGAGTGGGATTCTTTATCACGCTGAGTGTGAGGGTGCCGGGAAGCCTGTGTCTCCCTGAAAGGGAGACAGTGGGGAGCGGCACTCGGTGGTGGCGGTAGCTGCAGCCTCTAAAGCGCGCCGCGTGAGCCTGGGCTCCCGGGGCGATGACGCTCGAAGCAGTGACGCGACGACCAGAGCCCCTGCAGGCAGTGAAGGGTCTAGAGAAAAAGGGAGTGGGAGTCGGACCCCTCTCCTGAGTAAGACAGCAAGGAAGGCAACCCCCCCCACCCCCGCCAGCCTGTGGACGTCAGGGCTGTCACGCCCCCTCTGTAAGCATCACTGAAGTTCAAGGTCAGAATTCCTGCTGGTGGTCACATCCCAAGGGATTTGGACTAGATGCTCCTTCCTGGGTTTCTATCTCAGGAGACCCCCACCCACCCTGGCCAAGTGCTCCTAGGAAGGCTTAGGGTGGAGGAGTCTGTTCGCACAATTGACCAACGAAGAGGATGCTGAGCTGGTTCTTTAATGAGAATGAGCTTCAGGATGGGAAGGGGTGTCGGTCTAGCTGGGGTCAGGTCCTAAGTGGCACTTAGCGCCAGGCAGCCTTGCCTGCGAGCTCCTCTGGGCTCCCGCGGACCCATCTTTTGGTCTCCCAGCGGCTCTCGTCCCAGACACAGGATGCCTCAGGCTGGCTGGGTCTCCCATCCAAAATAATTAATCAGCATCCCAAAAACACCACAACGTGTGGCCCCGAATCTGAGTCTGCCAGTGAGGAGCTTTGCCCAAGGAGTTCATTTAAAGGGCAGATTCCAGGCATGATCCAGACCTGAGAGGCTCAAACATCTCCTGTTTGACTAACTCCCCAGATTCCCCAGCACTGCACGCATCAGCAAGTGCTCAGATGAGGGATCCACCACTCAGATGAGGGATCTGCTATTCAGATGAGGGATCTGCTTCTCAGATGAGGGATCCGCTGCTCAGATGAGGGATCTACTGCTCAGATGAGGGATCCACCACCCAGATGAGGGATGCGCCACTCAGATGAGGGATCTGCTGCTCAGATGAGGGATCCACCACTCAGATGAGGGATCTGCTGCTCAGATGAGGGATCCACCACTCAGATGAGTGATATGCCACTCAGATGAGGGATCTGCTGCTCAGATGAGGGATCCGCCGCTCAGATGAGGGATCTGCTGCTCAGATGAGGGATCCACCACCCAGATGAGGGATGCGCCACTCAGATGAGGGATCTGCTGCTCAGATGAGGGATCCGCCGGTCAGATGAGGGATCTTCTTCTCAGATGAGGGATCCGCCACTCAGATGAGGGATCTGCTGCTCAGATGAGGGATCCACCACTCAGATGAGTGATATGCCACTCAGATGAGGGATCTGCTGCTCAGATGAGGGATCCGCCGCTCAGATGAGGGATCTGCTGCTCAGATGAGGGATCCACCACCCAGATGAGGGATGCGCCACTCAGATGAGGGATCTGCTGCTCAGATGAGGGATCCGCCGGTCAGATGAGGGATCTTCTTCTCAGATGAGGGATCCGCCACTCAGATGAGGGATCTGCTGCTCAGATGAGGGATCCACCACTCAGATGAGTGATATGCCACTCAGATGAGGGATCTGCTGCTCAGATGAGGGATCCGCCGCTCAGATGAGGGATCTGCTGCTCAGATGAGGGATCCACCACCCAGATGAGGGATGCGCCACTCAGATGAGGGATCTGCTGCTCAGATGAGGGATCCGCCACTCAGATGAGGGATCTGCTGCTCAGATGAGGGATCCGCCACTCAGATGAGGGATCTGCTGCTCAGATGAGGGATCCACCACTCAGATGAGGGATATGCCACTCAGATGAGCCATCTGCTGCCACCCACCAAGGCACCAAACGCTGTGGCTCAGAGCACCCATGGCAGCTGTTAGCTGACCATTTCTGAGGCCAGGAATTCAGGAACAGGGTGGTTCTCATGAGATTCCATCATGAGATCGGCAGGGCCGCCTCACCTGAAGGCTGGACTGGGCTGGACCATCCAGGGCCAGGTGGTCTTGGCGGGAGGGCCTCTCCCGGGGCTGCTCAGTGTCCTCACGACATGGCAGGGGCTTCCTCCAGAGCGGGGACAGAGGGAGAGCGGTGACGCATGTGTGGCCTGGGCTCGAGGCGACACGGTGTCCTGGCGTCACGCAGTCCAGAACTCAGAGTGGGAGTGGCCGCACAAAGGTGTGCGTGCGGGGGCAGGACCCCTGGGTGCCTGGAGGCTGCAGACCACAGGCGCAGCGCAGGAATCAGGTGGAAAATCAGGCTGAGGAAGGGACGCGTCAAGATCTGCATCCCCACTCACAAGGGGAGCACCCACAGGGAGGCAGCATCCTTTTCCAGGCACCCCTGACCCCATGAGCCTTACCGCACCCCTGACCCCATGAGCCTTACCGCAGCCCTGACCCCACGAGCCTTAACCCGCACCCCTGACCCCATGAGCCTTTACCTGCACCCCTGATCCCACGAGCCTTACTGCACCCCTGAACCCCATGAGCCTTTACCCTCACCCCTGAACTCCACGAGCCTTTACCTGCACCCGTGAATCCCACGAGCCTTTACCTGCACCCCTGAACCTCATCAGCCTTCACCCACACCACTGAACCCCATGAGCCTTTACCAGGCACCCCTGAATTCCACATACCTTGAGCCCCAAACTGCACGCCAGCTGTGGTTTGATCGTTCCAAGCAGCACGTCTGTGGTTACAGGTCTAAAGGGATTCTTCGGCGAAAAAGGAGCTGAGGGTGATATCGGCTTTCCAGGGATCACAGGCCTGGCCGGTGTCCAAGGCCCTCCTGGATTTAAAGGGCAAACAGGTAAGGTCCGGCAGTCACACCACCCTCCTGGGCTGGGCTGAATGGTGCAGCTGAGCCCGTGGTCTCCGGGGGCCCAGAACAAGGCCGGCCAGTTCTGCCTGTCCGCCTGTCCCCTGCCGTCACAGCCAGGAGTGTGCCCCCGCGTGTCCATCCCCACATCCACACAGCCCGGCTGTGCGGGACGCGCGGGGCTGACGGCCGCGTCTGTGTGGCTGCCATCTGTCTCTCCGTGAGCGCTCAGACAGTTCCTGTGACGGCCCCCTTTCGGCGTCTGAGTTGCAGAATTTGTCAGAGGACCCGAGTTACAAGAGTGAATTCCTTTTGTGCTTTTCCTTGCTACTGTTGTGCTCACTGTTGCCCGGCGTTTGTGACCGCAGGGAGGCTGACCCTCCAAGGGTCTCTGGGCTCCACCCAGGCTCCCGTGTGGGCCCGAGAGAGAGACTCTGCACACGAGCTCTTCTGTTTGGCCAGGCTGTGCTCACACCACCACGGCCACGTGGAGGGGACGCCGGTCCTCACCCACACAGCCCCGTAGCTGGGGCCCAGGGGGCCTCGGGGTGCCTGCCTGCCCCCTGAAGAATGTGTCTGTCCCCCAGGCTTTCCAGGACTCACAGGGCTCCAGGGGCCTCAGGGAGACCCGGGACGGGCCGGAGCGCCCGGCACCAAAGGAGACTCCGGCTGGCCGGGGAACCCAGGCTTACCAGGTAAGGCGAGCCCCCTCGGGCTGTGAGGAGTCTGTGAAAAGCGTCCAGGAAGACCGTTTTTAAGTTAGTGTTTCTCTCGGGCAACACGGAAGCGACTGACTGACAGGGCCCAGTATTTGCTGAACTGCTCCCTGGTTGTCCCGCCTTTGAACACACCGGGGGCCTCCCTGGGGGCTCAGATGGTAAAGAATCCGCCTGCAATGCGGGAGACCCAGGTTCCATCCCTGGGTGGGGAAGATCCCCTGGAGAAGGGCATGGCAGCCCACTCCAGTATTCTCGCCTGCAGAATCCCACAGACAGAGAGGAGCCTGGTGGGCTACAAGTCCACCGGGTCGCAAAGAGTGGGACACGACTGAGCGACCAACACGGAACAGGCTGGGCGGACGACCGTCCCGCAGCAAATCGAAGTGTCTGGCTGCGCTGGGGGTCTCTCTCTCTGCTCTCCTGAGAACTAACCCCGAGGCTCCCCCACAGGTCTGCCCGGCCTCCGAGGCATCGGCGGATTGCATGGCTTACCAGGCAGCAAAGGCTTCCCGGGATCCCCAGGTAAGCAGCCCCGAGGCCGTGCCCAGCCATGGGGGGCCCCTGGGGGGCCATCGGGGACTTGGGGTGAGGGGGGCTCAGAGAGCTGGGTGGCCTGTCCCTGAGGCTGCAGGGGCGCGGTTCCGCCGGCTGCTGCACAGACCAGGGGGCTTAAGCAGCAAGGGGAGCGCCTCACAACTCTGAGCCTGGAGGTCCGGGGGGGGCGGGCTGCCAGCGTGGGGGGTCTGGGCGACGATCGTGTTCTCGGCTCCTCTCTGTGTCCTGACGCAGCAGACATGAGCTCTCTGGAGTCTCTTCTTGTCGGGGGCCCACCCTGGAGGCCTCCTCTAACCCCGATCACCTCTCCAAGGCCCTCCATCAGATCCCACCGTGTGGGGCCTTAGGAATCAACACGTGGGTTTGGGTTCAGACGACAGTTCCACTCACAGCAGTGGTTGGTGCTCAGGGGGCAGGTGGGGGCCGCCCAGAGGAGACACGAGATCCGTCGTCTCCGGAAGCCAGTGACAGTGTGAGGTGTGCACGGCTCCCCGCTTCTGTGACTGCCGAGCACCATCGCGTGGGGCTCTGTTCCTCAAAGGGAATGGAATCCCCTTGCTGCTTTAAGCTTCCTTTCTACGCTTGGATATGCAAAACTCTCGGCCACTTCCCAGACATTTCTTTATTTTAAATTTAGCTCCTTTCATCTTAAATCTTAATGCTCGGTCATCACTACATTTTTATTTTTTTATTTTTTTTTCTGGTAATACGTTTTTGTTTTGTTTTGTTTTTTTATTTTTTTCATTTATTTTTATTAGTTGGAGGCTAATTACTTTACATCATTGCAGTGGTTTTTGTCATACATTGAAATGAATTAGCCATGGATTTACATGTATTCCCCATCCCGGTCCCCCCTCCCACCTCCCTCTCCACCCGATCCCTCTGGGTCTTCCCAGTGCACCAGGCCCGAGCACTTGTCTCATGCACCATCACTACATTTTTAAAATGTGTTCACTGGACTAGTAATATTTGTAAACTATGTGATTAATATATTGTTTAAGCTTTTATTGTTTTCAGATTATAAAAATTACTTATGTTGAGTGGAGAAAAGCTTTAAAAAATACACTCTAACAAAAGAAAAACAAATCATGCATAGTTCTACCACTGCTTTTAGATTACTCTGTTTATACCTGTTTTATATCATCAAGAGTTCATCTGTCTATGGTAAATTTGGGTGTGTGTCATTGTATATAAATTCGCACACTCATCCTTCAATTAAGGTTTCAATTCCAGTTTAAATGCCCAAGTTATGTCGTTCTTTCCTGCCACCCACTGCTTTGAGTTCCTGATGGGTGAGCAGAGCAGGTTTTAAACAGTGCTTCCCTTTAACACCTCAGATGTAGCATCCAGAGCCCCAGCTAGGAACCTGGAGCCCTGGGCAGGTCCCAGCTCAGGACCATCTGTGTCTCGGGATCCAAGCCTTTTCTGAAGGGCCTCTGAGTTCCCCCCCTATGAAGTGAAGGGCTCGACTTCGATCCCCAGGGTCCCTTCTGAGTCTCAGGCTCAGGGGCGTCGAGGCTGCTAGGAGGCTGCAGTCTCCAGGCTGTCATGGGCTGCTCTTGTTTCCGAGTCTCCCCCTTCCTCTCATGAGAATGGACTCTGCCTGGTCCAGACACTGACATCATTTGTTCACCCGGCTGCAGGTGCGGACATCCACGGGGACCTGGGATCCCCAGGTCCTGCCGGGGACAGGGGTGACCCAGGAGAGGCCAACACCCTTCCAGGCCCCACGGGAGCCCCAGGACAGAAGGGCGAGCGTGGAGTCCCAGGTGAGGCCCCCACCCCAGCACCACCGTCTGCACCCCCAGAAGCAACTGTGGTGCCCACGAGTCTTGAGAGATGAGCGGTCGGAGCAGGCTGGGTGCCGACTTGTCTGTTGCAAACCTCCCACTGGCGTTCCATGATTCATATACCCCATCCCAGTCTTACTCCATCGGGGTTAACTGTTGACCGCCCCCTCCCGTAGAGGAAGGGTAAGATCACGCTGCCTCCCCGTGGAGACCCCCCAGGGCACCGGGTGAGGGGCTCCGCCCATCACGTGCGCACAGCAGTGCTGGGGAGATGACTGAGTGAGCGAAGGCGTCGCAGCCCTGAGCTCTGCCCATGTGCCGGTCTTGAGCGCGGCAGGAACAGACCAGAGAGAGGTGGTCTCAGCTGCTGGGAGTGAGACCCCCACCCAACCTGGCCGCCGGCCGCCAGGCTGGACCTAAACTGGCAGGGGGCATGTGGACTCGACTACACCCGGCATCTCGGAGCGGAGGGCTCCCAGCCCTGTGGTGTCCCCCAATGGGCTTTGTCCTCTCACACCTGGGCCCCCCGCCCCCCGGCTCAGCCCAGTGCCTCATCCGAGGATGCCTGGAGCCAGGCGCTGCCGCTGGACCCGACAGGTCACACCTGGGCCTCCAAGACCCGGGTCTGAGCGCTGGTGCTGAAACCAGAACCATCGGCCCTCAAAGGGAAGGCAGGCCCTGAGGAGGCCAGCAACCCCAACCTCCGATGGATGGGGGTGTGGGTATCCCACAAACCCCTTCATCTGATTCCCCCCCAGGTCTGTCACCTCCCCTCCACCTGCACCAAGCAGAAACCCCAGAACCCCCGGTACCCGAGCCCCGGCCTTGATCCAAACCCCAGAACCCCCCGGTAGCCAAGCCCCGGCCTTGATCTGAACCCCAGAACCCCCCAGTACCTGAGCCCCAGCCTTGATCTGAACCCCAGAACCCCCGGTACCTGAGCCCCAGCCTTGATCTGAACCCCAGAACCCCCAGTACCTGAGCCCCAGCCTTGATCTGAACCCCAGAACCCCCGGTACCTGAGCCCCAGCCTTGATCTGAACCCCAGAACCCCTGGTATCTGAGCCCCAGTCTTGATCTGAACCCCAGAATCCCCTAGTACCCAAGCCCCTGCCTTGATCCGAACCCCAGAACCCCCAGGTAGCCCAGCCCCGGCCTTGATCTGAAGGCAGGGGGAGGAGGTGGACCAGCCAGAGGGGCCACACCGTGAGTCCAGGGGGCTGCTGGGGCTCATGCGGCCCCGCTCAGGGCTGGGGTCCAGACCCCATCCAGCCGCACGGGACACCTGCCCCGTAGCCCAGCCCCAGGACGCTTGCCCCGTAGACCAGCCCCAGGACGGTCCCGTCATACAGGGTTTCTTCTGGGAGGCACGTCTCAGTCTTCCTGAAACTCTGGACCACACTTCACTGTGAAGTCTGGGAGCCGATCGAAACAGCCAGGTTGCCCTCAAAAAGCATGGCCAGGCAGAAAAGGTGGCCCTAGACGGACATTAGGGGAGCCTATTGACACCCCGAGTGGGACTCAGAGCTCCCCTCCAGGAGGGGCTTGTCCAGGAGCCCTGTGGGGCTGCCTGGGGCCACCAGTGAGCCCCAGTGAGGAGGTGAGATGCCAGTTCAGCCACCGTGGGCCGGGAGGATGGACCCGCCCCGGACGCTGGACATCCAGCCGGAGCCCGGGATCCTGGGGGCGGCTCGGGGGGGACTGCAGCGGCCGTGCTGCCCACCTTGGGCTCTCCCAGCACGGGTGCTTGCTGGGCCCCCAGGGCTGCTCCCAGCCGATGCCCGCAGGGCAGGGCCAGGCGTCTCCCTCAGGTGGCCCCAGCAGCTGGCCGCTGAGCAGGTGGCGTGCCGGTGAGGGCAGCCTCGCAGCAAAGGCAGGGCCACGGGCCCCCTGAGCAGCGGGAGGGGGCTGGCGGGCATGTGGGCAAGAGCCCCCATGGGCACCTCTCCTCGGCGGCTCTGCTCCTGGATGGGCAAGGGCGCGGAGAAGGGGTGACCCAGGATGGAGAGCTGGGTGCTGGCGCTGATTAACTTCCGTTTCCTTCCCAAGGGGAGCGAGGCCCGATCGGGAGCCCCGGCCTTCAGGGCTTTCCAGGCATCACCCCTCCTTCCAACATCTCTGGGTCACCAGGGGACGTCGGCGCGCCCGGGATATTCGGCCTGGAAGGTGAGCAGGTTCACACCCTGTGGGCTGGAACCTCTGGGCACAGAAGCCTGGTCACTGAAGGCAGGGGACACCTCCGATCCCCTTTGAGGACATGATTCTGAGGGAGGCAGGCCAGACGGGAAAGGACAGCGCTGACTCCACTGCAGGAGGGCCCGGGAGTGTTCCCTGACGGAATCGATGGGCTTTCCCAGGTGAAGCAGCAGTAAGGAATCCGCCTGTCAATACAGGAGATGCAGGCTGGATCCCTGGGTGGGGAACATCCCTGGAGCAGGAAATGGCAACCCATTCCAGTATTCCTGCCTGGAGAACCCCATGGATGGAAGAGCCTGGTGGGGTACAGTCCATGGGGTCGCAAAGAGTCAGACACGACTGAGCACAGAGGAATCCAGTCACAGAGTCAGAGCGTGGATGCCGGGGGCCAGCGCTGGGGAGTCGGGAGGAGCGTGTTCAGTGAGGACAGAGCTTCAGCTGCAGGATGAGTGCGTGAGCTCGTCCAGGGAAGGATGGTGGTGCCGGCTGCACGGCGATGTGACCGGGTGCACTCCACACTGGTTAAAATGGTAGATTTATGTTAGCATATTTTAGCACAATAAAAAGCAAAATTAGCTGCCCAGGGTTACACACTTGCCAAAGCCCATCCCCCAGGGGTAACTTTGCATGCACGCCTTCCTCCCGCATACACTCACCTCTCTCCCGACTGACGCCGGCAGGTTATCGAGGGCCCCCGGGGCCACCCGGGCCTGCAGCTCTTCCCGGAAGCAAAGGCGATGAGGGGAGTCCAGGAACCCCCGGAAACCCCGGGACCAAAGGATGGGTCGGGGACCCTGGGCCTCAGGGCCGGCCTGGCGTGTTCGGGCTCCCGGGAGAAAAAGGTAACACGGGTGTCCTGGGAGAAGGGAGGGCTTCTCTTGGGGATGCTGGCCAGAGATGGCCAGAGGCCCCCACCCACACCGGCCCTGCGTGTCCTCAACATCCTGCTTGTCCTGAAGGGCCCAGAGGGGAGCCAGGATTCATGGGCAACATAGGCCCCACTGGGAGCGTGGGCGACCGAGGCCCCAAGGGACCCAAAGGAGACCGAGGACTCCCGGGTGAGTGGGTCTCGGGGGGATGCCTCGGAGGTCACCGTGTCGCGCTGGGGCGTGGTGGGGCAGGGGTGCTGGAAGGGCCGTCTCTGCAGAGCGAGGCGGCTCGGGGAGGCTGGAGAGTGGGTCCACGACTGGGTCGAGATCGGAGCAGCGGTTCTCACGCCTTGCCTGGCCTTTCTTCTCCCTTCCAGGCGCCCCCGGTCCCGTGGGGGCTCCAGGCATCGCAGGAATCCCCCAGAGGATCGCGGTTGAGCGGGGCCCAGTGGGGCCACAGGGCAGGAGAGGCCCCCCAGGGGCTCAGGGGGAGATGGGGCCACAGGGCCCCCCCGGAGAACCAGGTGGGAGCCCGGCCGGGGGGCGCTGGGTGGGGGCTGGGGGGCTCCCTGCCTGCCTGCTCTGTTTCCGCCTGTCCCTGCCCGCGGCACTCACCCGTGTCCCCGTGGCCCTGCAGGTTTCCGCGGGGCGCAGGGCAAGGCCGGGCCCCAGGGACGAGGCGGCATGTCAGCCAATCCCGGGTTCCGTGGAGACCAGGGGCCCGTGGGGCTGCAGGGACCGGTGGGTTTCGAAGGTGAGTGATGGGCAGGGATGGGGAGGTGCCTCAGCTCCGCCGTGGGGCTGACAGGTGGACCGTGGAGCTCAGGGAGGGGTCGGACGAGCCCCGAGGTGAGCAGCGCTGAGGGGCCGCCCCCTGAGTCCAGCTTCCGGGTTATCAGGGCCACCCTGTGACCCCTGCCCCTGGCCGAACACTTGGCACAGGGTCCCCAGCACAGGCTGGCCCCCTTCCTTCCCCTGAGACTCAGGAGGTGGCTCAGAGAAGGAAGCAGGTGACGGGTTGGGAGAGACAAAATTCCTGAGCTCTCGAAAGCTGAGGACGGTGAACTACAAGTGACCGATCACATTATAGGCGCCACTGTGAAGTCTTTTATCGTCGACTTCTAAAAATTACTTGCATGTATGCAGGATGGGATAGGCCCAGAGTAATAGTCATTCATGCAAAAAAACAAGTCCTAGGAGTTGTAATCCACCTGCACTCGGTTTGAGCCAGTGACGTGCATGTTGTGCACGGTAGGGACAGGCTGCGTGGTCACACCCAGACCCCAGCAAGTGTCCACATCACGCCGCTGGAGCAGGAGAGCCTGTGACATGCCGGGGAGATGGTGGGGGCTGGGGAGGGGCATCGGGGCGAGGGGACGCCCTGTGAGAGAGACAGGGTCACCTGTTGGGGGCGGATCAGCCGTTCTGCGGTGTCAGGGACAGAACTGGGGCCCTGGGTGGACATGTGGGGAGTCGGGTTTCTAACCCTGGGAATGGTCGCTCCCCGAAGGTCCAGCAGGGGGCCCTGCAGCCTGGCGTGGAGGAGGCGGGCAGGGCTGGACCACAGTGCCCCTGGTCCCCTATATAAGAGACGCTGCAGTTCCCACTGGGACGGGGGTGACTAGGGGGTCGGCTCATGGGGCCTCTGAGTCCACGCCCCTGCCCCCCCACCCCCACACACCCCCACCTCCATCCAGCCTTCATGATGGCCATTCCGAGTTCCTTAACAGGGAGGGCGTACTGAGCGAGGGTAAGTCCTCCCCAGGAGGCTCTTGGTCCCCAAGGGCAGAGCCACTGACCCCAGCCTTGGGGCCGTGAATGTCGCCGTGCCCGCCTAAGCACGTGGGCTGCGGTCCGCGCGGCAGCTGCAAGGCGGCCTCTCTGTCTCGCCCAGGGGAGCCGGGCCGCCCCGGGAGCCCCGGCCTGCCGGGCATGCCCGGCCGAAGCATCAGCATTGGGTACCTCCTGGTGAAGCACAGCCAGACCGACAAGGAGCCCATGTGCCCCGTGGGCATGAACAAGCTCTGGAGCGGATACAGCCTGCTCTACTTCGAGGGCCAGGAGAAGGCCCACAACCAGGACCTGGGTAGGTACCGCCCGCCCGCCGGCCAGCCCCACCAGGGGTGGCAGGACCCAGCAGCCACAGCCACCTCCTGAGCCCTCAGGAGGCGCCCAGATGCTCCAAACCCGGGGTCGGGGAGCGAGCACTGCCCTGTGTCCAGGGCGCTCTGTAAGGGCAGGGCGGAAGTGCCCTGGAGGCCTCGGAGGGATCGGAGAGCCTGAGCTTGGCCCCACCACGCCTCGTGCACGCTGAGCGCTCTGGCCGGGGTGGGGCCAGGCCCTGAGCGGGCGGGGCGCGCAGGGCCCCGCCTGCCGCGTACTCAGCCGCCCCCTCCGCAGGCCTGGCGGGCTCCTGCCTGGCGCGGTTCAGCACCATGCCTTTCCTGTACTGCAATCCCGGCGACATCTGCTACTACGCCAGCCGCAACGACAAGTCCTACTGGCTGTCCACCACCGCCCCGCTGCCCATGATGCCCGTGGCCGAGGAGGACATCCGGCCCTACATCAGCCGCTGCTCAGTGTGCGAGGCTCCGGCCGTCGCCATCGCGGTCCACAGCCAGGATGTCTCCATCCCCCACTGCCCGGCCGGGTGGCGCAGCTTGTGGATCGGATACTCCTTCCTCATGGTACGTGCTGTGCACCTGCTGCGACTCGGAGCAGGGACCCAGGTGGAAATCAAGGTCCTCTCCCCAACCGCCCTGTGGCCGTTTTAAGACTGATCGGCGCGGTTGTTCAGGTTGGGCACTGCACAAAGGCCCCTGGCCCAGGGAATGCTGAGAGCTGGAATGCAGCCTGCACTTTGCTAAGCCGTGTTTGGCCTGGGGCTGCTCCCATCCGGGTGGGACACAGTAGTTTGCTACCAGGCCTTTTTACAACCTTGATGAGGACGATTTGACTATCATGACGGCATTCCTTAACAATTTTCCTGTTTACTCCACTATCACAGGGAGAAAGGAAAGTCCAGAGGGGTCTTGTGTTGCATTTATATTTATTATGACTGTCGTAACTCCCATTGTGCTGACAGGATACCCAACATGTTTAATATTTCATAAACTATGTCAATAACATAATATATATACATAAATTATACCATGTTTGCTAATCTTGTCAAAACAATAGGGGGAAAACCCTGGGATCTAGGGAAGGAAGGAAGAGATAAACAAGCATTGATTCTTTAACATTTTTAAGGGAGCAGTGCTGCAGTGATCTGAAGCGACAGGATCTCTAGGCTCTGTGCAGGAGCAGGCAGCGTTCCACCTTAAGGGGCAGACAGAGCAGCCCCCGTTTGCCCCTGGGTCTCAGAGGAGGAAGCGCTGGTCCCTCCTATGTTTTAACTCCCTCGTGAGATGAAAAAGGAGGATCTTCTTTGTCATGGGAATGCCTGCCCTGTATCCTGAAGGTCAGACAGCCCTGCTCTTAAGCGCATTACATCTTGAGCCATGTCAGAGGAGAAAGGATAAGCACACTTGCCCTAGTGGTCAAGAATCCACCTGCAGGAGACGTAAGAGACGCCAGTGCAATCCCTAGTTGGGAAGGTAACATGGAGAAAGAAATGGCAGCCCACTCCACTGTTCTTGCCTGCAGAATCCCATGGAGAGAGGAGCCTGGCAGGCTACAGTCCATGGGGTCACGACTGCACAACTAAAGCGACTTAGCACACACCCATTATCCTCAGTAACCTCCTCCAGCCAGCCTAGACCAACATGGCCAGTGATAGTAGTAATAATAATTCAAAGCACACATACCCCCTCTTCATGCACATTAGTAAAGGAGGAGGAGAGGGGCACTTTCTTTGGAGCTTAATTGGTTTTTGGCCCCACCGCACGACTTGTGGGATCTTAGGTCCCCAACCAGCGATGGAAGCCGGGCCCTCGGCAGTGAGAGCACAGAGTCCTAAACACCGGACCAGCAGGGAACTCCCTGGGGATTGATTTTAAGAGTCTGGTTCTGACCCCCATATTGATTTTATCTTTATTTTATTGAAGTATAGTTGGCTCACATTGTCTTAATTTCCACTATACGGCAACGTGATTCAGTTACACGTACATATGTTGTTCAGTCGCTCAGTCGTGTCAACGCTTTGGGACCCCATGGACCCCAGCACGCCAGGCCTCCCTGTCCATCACCAACTCCTGGAGCTTGCTCAAACTCATGTCCATTGAGTCAGTGATGCCATCCAGCCATCTCATCCTCTGTCGTCCCTTTCTCCTCCTGCCCTCAATCCTTCCCAGCATCAGGGTCTTTTCCAATGTGTAGGCTGTTCACATCAGGTGGCCAAAGGATTGGAGCTTCAGCATCAGTCCTTCCAGTGAACACCCAGGACTGATTTCCTTTAGGATGGACTGGTTGGATCTCCTTGCAGTCCAAGGGGCTCTCAAGAGTCTTCTCCAGCCCCACAGTTGGAAAGCCTCAATCACACATACATGCATACACATTCTTTTTCACATTATTTTCTAAGATGGTTTATCACAGAATGTGCAGAGTTCCCTGTGCTCTAAAGTAGGACCTCGTTTGACTTTTCCTTGGAAGAAAAACAAACAAGCTAACGTGTTGGCATCTCTTCCGCCCGCTCCCCCACGCAGCACACGGCCGCCGGTGACGAAGGGGGCGGCCAGTCGCTGGTGTCGCCGGGCAGCTGCCTGGAGGACTTCCGCGCCACGCCGTTCATCGAGTGCAACGGGGCCCGCGGCACGTGCCACTACTACACCAACAAGTACAGCTTCTGGCTGACCACCATCCCCGAGCAGACCTTCCAGGGCACGCCCTCGGCCGACACGCTCAAGGCCGGCCTCATCCGCACGCACATCAGCCGTTGCCAGGTGTGCATGAAGAACCTGTGAGTGGGGCACTGGCCGGACACGCCCCGGGCACGCCCCCGGACACGCCCCTTCTCCAGGCCCGTGCAGTCCGGGGCCACTTTGGTGCTTTTCTTAACTTATTACCTCAGACGCCGACCCCTAAATTGACTGCTTTTTTTTTCTTTAAAAAACAAACCAAAAAGAGAAAAAGGTTACCAAAGGAATTCAGCACCAGCACTTGGACCAGAGAGGCCCTTGTCCCCCGCAGGCGCGGCCTGCTCCCCCCAGGTCTGCAGGACACCCTGTCCCCCCAGCACGGGAGGCGGTCCACCTCCCGCTCAGGCCGTCCCGGACTGCCCCTCGCTCGGCGTCGCTGACGTCCTGCTGCGCACCCGTGTACTCACCGCGCTCCCAGCCGCCGCTGTTAGCCCGTTTTCTGAACTCACTTAAGGGGGGTGTGGATGGGTGAGGCCGCTCAGCCCGCAGGCTCCCGGGGGTGGGCCCGGGCCCCGCTCCCTGAGCCCCCGGGACGCGCACCGTCCTCTCGAACATGCCGGTGGCGTGAAGGACCCTCGTCCCCCGGGAAGGCCGACTGCGCCTCCTTGGGTCTGAAAAGCCGCTGCTGTCGGCGCCCCGGCCATCGCGCTCCCCACCAGGGCCTTCCAGACCTCCCCGCCGTCCGCCGTCCGCGGCGAGTCGGCAGACTCCATGCGGCAGGCAGAGACGCCCCCGCCGCCCGGGGCCGGCCTGAAGATCCGCTCCCCCTTCTGTGCGCTGAGCTGCACCCCTCTGACTACCACCTCCTCTGTAACCAGCCCAGAATAAAAGTTACTTTAAAACATTTTCATACCCCACCTTGTTGCCTGCCTGATTTTCTCAAGTTCGTAGGGCACGAAATTTGCGCTGAACCGGGAACCTGCATAACGGCCCAGCTCCGCGCTGTTGCTTTTTCCAGGTCTCAGCAGACTGAACCGAAGCCTGCAGTATCATCATTGGCCCCTCAGGGAACTGTATTTGTGTTTACGATGTGGTGATGTTTACAGAAAACACTCCCAACCTGCACTCACAGGCGTTAGGAGGGAGGTACCTCTAAACACACTGCCAAAGTCATTCAATGCGCCCCGGCATAACATCCCAAATCAAATCCCAGAAATCAAATCTCCAAGACACATTTCTGCCTTCAGTTCCTCCGGAGCCTGGCTGACGCCTGGGCACCCAGCTCAGAACTCAGTCTCACATTAGACCTTCTCTGAGATCAATCTGTACAGTCACAAAGTAAGCATTCCACGTGATGAAGTTATTTGAACGCGATCAGCCCCGGGCTGGCCTGCCTTCCCCGGTGCTGCCCGAGCCAAGGACCGTGTGCCCGAGGGTTAAGTGAGGGCGTGACTCCTGGCGGGGAAGGGGGGCCGGGCAGAAGGAGGGTGCCTCACTACAGGGCTCAGGGCTCAGTCCACGCCCCGCCCCCATGCTGGGGAAGGCCCACACAAGGACCACTGATGGGGCGAGGCACATTTTCCACTTCCAGCTCTTGCCCCCAGGGGCCAGGCTGGGTCACAGGTTCAGGGGTGCTGAGCGGGCTCTGAGCATCCCAGGGGAGGCGACAGAGAACCAGGTGAAGGTGATGGGAGTTACGGTAGGCTCCACCTGTGCGCAGCTGGTTTCCATAGCAACAGTTATAGTGGGACGCTGAGCCCTTAGAGGCCGAGGCTGGGGCCTGAAAGATGCCCGCACAGGAGGCTGGCGGGGCAGCTGCTCTTGCCAGACCCCAGTCCCCGAGATCGCGGGGTGGTCATGACACTTGTCACAGCCCTGAAGGTTCCTGCTCGATTTGGTCTAGCCTCCTTTTAATTGAATGAAGGATTCTTTAGATTCTATACTGTTTCACAGTTTGCAAAAGTTTCACACCCATGGTCTCCTATGGCTTAGCTTCGCCTCCGTGTGGTTCCCAGGGCATTAGGCGCCCAGCATTAAACACCGCAAAGTCCTGGACTTCACGCCTGAAACACTTAAGGAAAGAAGACCAAGACCAGGTTCTCAATACATAACTGGACGCCAAACTGTAAACCAGAAAATATAAACCAAGTACAGACAGATAATCCGTCTCTGTGTGCATGAGCCCAGGATTCCGCACAAGTGTCGCTATCACAGGTGAAGATTCCTGGTCTGAAGTCAAACAGCCAAGCTTCTGAACCTTGAAAGTTCAAGCTGCCCTTCACAGACCCGAGCATGCTGCATGCGATTTCTCTGGTCTAGTTTTTCAGGGCTAAGGACAACCACTAGCCCGGAAGCTAAGGGTCCTTGAGTGGCCAACACTGTCCCCACTTTGCGGGGACAGTGAGTGGGCGCCCTGAGGTCACAGTCACCAAGGTGGCTGTCCCCACCCCTGCCACAGACGGCGCCCGGACTCCCGTGAAACCTCACGAGACGCCTCTGGACGCACCCTGGCCGGTTGGAGGGGCGCCGAGAGCCAGGCTGAGCCCGGGAGGATTGCTGCGGCTCCCACGCCCGAGAAGAGCCAGTCGGGAGGACGCCAGGGCAGGTCTGAGCTCAGGGCCGGCGGCCCTCGGGAGAGCTGAAACAGAGACCCCGCGGGCCACGGTGGCGTCCTGAGCATTAAACCCACTCCCGTGCGTGGAAGGGCCTGCAGAGAGCCGGCGTGCACACCGTCGTTCGAGTTTGCTGTCAAGTCTGCTAACTTCTGCTTGAGACACTTGGGGGGTTTATTTATATGTTTAGATGGAATATCTCCATGATTCTTAGTCCTATGATCTGGACAAAGGCAGATAATATGTGTAAGTGGACAATTTACGTTTCCCAAGGTGGTTTGAGTACTAAATTTGAAATGAGTGACAGTGTATTTTTCTTTTAGTGAAGGAGAAGAAAAACCACAGATATGATGACTCTTGTGTGTGCGGGTGGGGTGGGGGGTCTTCCTTGTGCCAATGCCTCCGGGACACTGGCCTGGGGAAGTGCAGGTCAGCTGTCCTCTGTTCTGCAGAGGCAATGAGAGCCTGTTGTTGCTGCTGTTTTTGTTTAGTCACAAGTTCTGTCTGACTCTTTGTGACCCATGGACTGTAGTCCGCCAGGCTCCTCTGTCCATAGGATTCTCCAGGCAAGAATCCTGGAGTGGGCTGCCATTTTCTCCTTCAGGGGATCTTCCCCACCCAGGCAGATTCTTTACCAAGAAGCCCAATGAGGAGCTGGGTAAGAATTTTGTCCCGGATGCTGCAAAAGTGTGAGGTCATGCTTCACCCACAGTCCAGGTGAGAAACTACAGGTCCGTGTAACAGACATTAAAGCCCACGGGAGCACAAATAAGGTGTAAACCAAGGTTCTTCTTAAAATAATTTTTAATAATAAAGTGGCTCACAATGCTGCAAACAATATAAAAACAGCGATTCCTGATTTTATATAAATTAACATTTGTCAAGAATCGTTACGAGGCATCAAGATACAAGTACCGAATGGCTGGATCAAAGGTAAATCACAGTGAAGAGGAGCCTTGGAGGGTCACGCAGGTGCGGAGACCGGGGGATACGTGTCAGAGGCCAGGTGTTAGGACGGGGCAGCGAGGGGATGCTGGCTCTGAGGGTGGCTCCTCCGGACGATCCGTCTGCTCCCCACCTCCCGGGGCAGCAATGGACGCGGAGGCCCGGTCACACAGCCCTCGTCTCGGGGACTGGCTGGCGCCTCCTCCCGGCCCCTCCTCCGCGTGCAGTCCTACAGAGTGACCCCCGATCGGCTCCTCAGGCCACCCGGGTCCCCGGGGCCGGGCCGGGGCGCGTCAGGAGCAGCACCCGGATCTGGTCCGTGCAGGCGGCGGGGCGCTGGCGACGTCCACGGTCTGCGGCGGGCCCTGGGCCCTCTGCCGCAGGATCACGGGCACCACCATGTCGAACACCGTCTCAAACAGCAGGTCCACGTTCTTGCCGGTCTTGGCGCTCGTCTCGAAGCACATCTGCTCAGCGGCCGGCACGTCCTTCTCGTCCAGCATCTTGTACTTGAGGATCTTCTTGTAAAAGGCCACTGCGTCCTCCAGCTGCACCTGCTTGGACAGCCGGGGGGCCGGGCAGCCGCCGCCGCCTGCCTGCCCGGGGCCGTGTCCTCCTCCCTGGCCGCCCTCCCCAGGCGCCTCCTCACTCAGGTCCACCTTGTTGCCCACGACGGCGAAGAGGCAGTCTGCACTGGCCGTGTCCGTCAGGCCCAGGAACCGGTCCTCCAGCTCGAGCAGGCTCTGGGCGTGGTTCACGTCGTAGGTGAGGATGACCGCAACCGCCCCCCGACAGTACATGGAGCCCAGGCCGTGGAACTGCTCCCGCCCTGCGAGGGGAGAGAAAGCGGCTGGTTATCTCTCCTGCCTGGAGGCGCCCCCTGACCGTGCACAAGGGACCCCCGGGAGGGACCATGGATGGAATCGTGACCCCAAGAGTCGGCACGGCTGCAGCTGAACCAGATGGAGAGCCTGCTGTGCAGAGACAGGGTGACGGCCGGCCCCCACGCCAGCAGCTCCCGCACAGTCGTGTCCACCCACGGCAGTGAGCCCACAAAACAAGGCGGACACCCGCGCCCTGCTCTCCTCCTCACGGGTGGCCGGGGCTCCTATTCCTGCATCTTAGTCCTGGGTGCTTAGATGAAACACTCCCACCAGGGTCTGGCTTCTGGATGACGCAGTCGGGACCCTCTCCAGGCGGGGCCTTCAGCCTCCCCGGCCTGCCCACCTACCCCGGCCCCAGAGGGCTCACTCAGCCCCCAGAGCCCCAGGCCCTGCCCCGCCTCTGCGACCACCGCCCCAGGCTGCGGGCCTCCCGGAGGAGGAGCTCGGAACGCACACACTAAGGAAACACGCTCTCCTGTAGGGAAAAGAGGGCAACTCGGGTTTCGAGCCAAGCCTGGTGCTGCCGTGCACACCACACGCAATGCAGGCAGGGATGTCTCCCCGCCGCGGACGGGCCTGCCCTGAAGCCTGTGCCCGCCTGCCAGGAGCGGGCGGTGGCAGCGGGGGGAGTAGGTCCCGGGTCCCTCACACCTCCTGTCTACCCCCTCCCCTGCCCACGGGCACCCATCAGGGCTGCAGGAGCCCCAGGGGGCAGCCCCCAAGGGGCACGGAGGTCCAAAGAGGACCGGACGCCAGGACACAGTGCTGGACCCCAGGAGCCCAGAGAGCCTCACCCAGCCCGAGGCTCTCTTTGCCTTTTCAGTTTTCAGGGTGTTTTCTGAGCTGGGCAGTCACAGCCAGAGCACAGCAAGGCTCTCCCGTGGGCAGACCTCCTCTCTGGTCCTCTGGGGGAGGGTGGGCACCCCCGAGGGCTTCTGCTGTGACTTTCCAGGGGGTCCCTGGCCCCCTCTTCAGGTCCCCCTGAGCCTTGGCGCATTCAGCACAACCCTGAGCGGAGGCCTCAGTTACGTGGCTGATAGACACCCATCTGCAAAACGACACTCAGGGCGATTAAGCTTGCTGCGCATGTGAAGCCACAAAAATCCCTCCAGCTTGTTTAGAAAAAGGAAAAGCAGGGTGTTTTCTTATGTAAGATTTCTTGGTTTTGTACCAGCTTGGTCTGATGTGCTGGGTGGTGGAGCCTCGTTCATGTCAGAGGCTAAGATGACACCCTGCCCCCATCTCAACTCCCACCTTTACTGAACTGCAGACACAGGGGGAGCGCGGTGATGGGGAAAGCGAGGGGGTGAGGACAGATGCAGGGAGGGGAGGGGAGGGGGGAGGAGGCAAGGGAACAGGGGAGACCGAAACCCTGATGCGTCAAAGCCCTGAAGAACTGAAATTCCGTCCCACTTTACTCCCTGCATTCTCCCATGTCAGATCTCCAGAAGCGCTGGATGCGAGAGGCCCAGACCACAGACGGCGGCAAGACAGCACCCCTCACACCGGGGACCCCAGCATCCACATTGGGACCATATTCGTCCCCGGGTTTTCCCAAACGCCCCCTGGTTCCTCTTCTTCCTCGTTCAGGACGGGTAGATGGCTCAGAGTGCATGAAGGGCAGCCCCTAAATGCAGGAGGGGCCCCTTCCGGAAGGCGTCCCAGGCCCCCCTGCATGGGCGGAGAGAGACCTGCCACCCACCCCCGGGCCTGCGTGTGAGGCAGGACGGGCAAGCCAGACTCTGCGCGCCGGGCCTGTTCCTGTAGCGCCGACCCTCGCGCCGTGACCCTCAGCTGAGTCACGCTGGCTCAGCACCTTCCGTAAAAGAACGCTGCCTGCCGCCTGGAATACACTGGAATGTGCATTCTCCCAGCTCTGGCCTTCAAAGGTATAACTCATTTCCATTCATCTTGAGATAAATGGTTGCAGAACAGAAAAATAACGATTGTCTTGTCAGAGGCAGCACCGGACCTGCAGACAATGGCCAGAACCAGGGGCCCCAGCATGGAGAAGCTGGCATCAACCAGCCCGGCCCCTGCAGTTCTAGAAGAAACTGGATTGCAGCTCGGGGAAGGTGGGTCTTAGGGACGATAGTCGACCACATTCTCGGTCTGCTGGCTGTCCGAGCAGAGTGGCTACTCCTAGCCCCAACAACCCATCCCTTGATTTACTGGCCTGTCACACAGCGAGCAGCCCGAGGGTGGACTCCGTAACAGGGAGACCTCTCTGGGCGTGTCCCGCCCCCCACGGAGGAGCCCAGGAGAGGCCCGTGGACCACTTGCCCACACTCCCTGCTGTCTGCGGGGCTCGCCGTCCTTCAGAACATCCTGACACGCCTACTCCGAGCTGGACTCTGAACTCCGCAAGAACAGGGCCCGGAGTCTGCCTTCATTCCTCGCTGGGGTGTGCGGGGTGCCGCCTGGCCCTGCCCATCCCGCCCCGGCCCCCACAGGTCTCAGGTGGATGTGAACCTCTCAGGTCAAAGTTCAGTTGTAACACCCAGGCCAACAGGGGAACCAGCGGCCCCCAGGCAGTCCCTCCTCCCGGAGCCTCCGGGCTCTGACCCCCACTCCCTGAAGCACCCCAGCCTCTCTGCGCCTGCCGGACCTCCCCACCCATTTCCTCCTGGAAGGACAGGGTGCGTGGAAGAGGTAGATGGCAGGCAAAGCTCCGGGGAAGGCGGGTCAGGGTGGGATCGTCCGCCCACACACCGGACGCGGATGAGAAGACACCCGGTCAGCGTCTGCAGAGAATGGACGTCCCCCTGCCCCGACCTCGTGTCTACACAGCTCAGCTGTCTGCATGCACGCTCCCCAGGTGACACCAACGCGTCAGCCCCAGCATCCTGCACCCGACCCCCTGCCCCTCAACCCACCCAGGGCTCCCCCATCGGGCGGAGCACCGAGCCCCCAGCCCGTCCTGCCAGCAGCCCCTGGCCGGGCTGTCACGGTCCCGGTTTCTAGTCCAGGGTCCAGAGGCCCCCGCTGACCACAGTGGGGCAGAGCGAGGAGTCCATGGCCTTGAACCGGGAGAGGGGGAGTATCTGTTCCCAGCATCCTCTGACCGAGAGCTGGCATTCCCTGTGCTCCAAGGACTGCAGGCAAGCAGAAGCAACAGCAGGAAGCAACGCCTGCGCTTCCCTGCCGAGAGCAGTCACAGCGGCTTTCAAACCTCACTACAGCTGTGTGCATTTACCGTCAGCTCCACATCTCAACTGGCATTAACCTGTCAGTGAGGAAACCCGGTGTTCTGGCCAAACTTGGCACTTTACTGGAAGTGTTTAAACACAGTACTCAGAGAAAGCGTCGTGGGCAGGTGCCACTCGGACACAAGGGAAACCTTGGCACAAAGGAAATGAAGAACGTTTGGCTCAGGGTCTTTGGAACATGGGTTGAAGGCATGACACCCCCACCCGTGTGTTTATGTAAAACGCAGTGGCCTTTGCCAAGAAATCAGCTTTCAGCCAAATGGCCAAGAAACGTAAACGAGTTCCACCCCAATCATCCTGAGATGGTCACATCCTGTCACAGACGGCAGCCCGGCCTCCTCGGGGGACATTCTCCTGCCTGAGTGGCCAGCCCTGGAGAGAACAGCCGGCAGAGAAGGACACCAGGTTCGGGAAAAGGGTCTCAGGGGCTGCATCTGATCAGTCACCTCCCTCACTCAGACAGGGACCCCAAGCCAGGGACCCGCTTCTCCAACAAACCCCAAGCATCCCCCAAGCGGTCTGACAGGGAGGCGAGCTGGAGAGCGGGTAACTCGAGCAGGTCTGGCAGGAGGTGGAGGCACGCATCCCGTGAGCTCCCGGGATGCTGAAGACAAAGCGAGTCCACAGCCGCCAGACTCCCACCACTGGAAGGGCAGCCCACTGCCCCGGTGCTCCCCACATCCCCTCCGTCTGCACCGACAGCAGGTCTGCCCTCTGCCTAACAACTTAATTGCAAATTTCAGGTCAAATTGCCCTCTATGCCTCCAGGCAGACACGAAACAGCATCCTGCTCCCTTCATGAACCCCTATGGGAGATGTCGACAGAGGCATCTCCCCAAACCGGCAGCAGGAGGCTTTAGTCAGAAAGAAAAGAAAATAAATGCTGCTCCACTGTTACCACTGGGCTGGGACCTTTCGTCTCACACACACTAACCTCAGACAGCGAGTGGCAGCTAAGAGCACCGTCAGCTCCCACCCGCTAGATTTCACAAGAGGGTAGCGGGCAGGCACGCCAGCTTCCACATCTGTTACATGGTTTCTCTGAGGACAGCAAGGCGACTGTTAATGCCCAAGGCCTAAAATAGCTTTCCTTTCCAGATAAAACTGTCTCGCTTGCCCTTTAAAAAAAAATCAAAAAAGTAGATAATAATAATACCAAAAGAGAAAGCAAAATAACTAGCTGAGTAAGACCTAAAACATCCCAAATGCCAGCCTGGAAAGAGGTGGACGCAGCTGCTAATCAAACCCTGGATCTGCCATCTACCTGTCGACCAACGCAAACAAGCTGAACGCTGTGACCCCAGCTAAAGAATTTACGATGGTGCAGTTTTCAGGTTTGAAATTCTCAAATCTTGCTCTGGATCTAACCCAGAGCCTTTAGCCCACTTTCCAACAAGTGTAGTGTCCATACTAAGACCAGCCAGTCCAACAGGGAACAGAGGCTCTGAACTTGGTCCGAACTGCCTCCAAGCAGGAGCCTGGCATTCCTGGCATCACAGAGGCAGTGAGGATCATGGTGGGAGGTGGCGAGACGCAGCTGTCTGCAGTCGGCTCTGGGCATATCTGAACCTGAGGCTCTGGAGCAAGTTTCCCAGGAGTTTGTGAGTGTGTGCTGAGCAAGAAGTCAGGCCCTGCATCTGGCCTGCTGTAATGTCAGCTCCTGGAGCCCTCGGAGTGATGACTTCCCCATCTGTGTGATGGGCTTGAACTGGGATGCTCACAGGGTCCTCCCCGAA